ACTGCAATGTTTGCCCGTTTGGAGCTGTTAAAGTGCAGAACTAAATTTAATCTGGAACAATGAAATCAGTTCATATTTAAGGTATGGATTGTTGTAGTATCTGAATGATAATATCATAGGCTCTTGAGGGATGTGAGATGGAGCAAAGAGCACTTCATTAGCCAATAGTAGGGATGTAGCGATACATCGAGTCTTTCAGTTAACATCGCTTAGAGTGCATGATACGACAAATCATTGTTTTTAGATTTCTGAAAATTCTAGGGTACTAGATTGAACACATCTTGGAAAACATGACAGACAATTGCTGCTCTTTTTACAGGAACAGCAACTTCTGTATAAGCAGCGTTGAGCTGTATTTAAAAGCCACTTATTTTTATCTTCATTGTTTTTACTCAAGTAATCTCTCAAGAAGTATTCTTTGTGGAGATGCTGTTTTCCAACATAAGTATCAAATCACTGACGAGGAACTCTAGGGGGAGGTACCCTAGATGAATTTGTAATGCAATAAATGTAAATCTGTTCTACGGTGGCAGGAAGGGCATTGCAACAATGTTACACGAGTGAACAGTGTAAATCTAGCCTCAAGTGTTAGCCAGATATGATAAGTAGGCTTTCGTGACCTATATCATCCATAACACAGGTTTTTGTTGGGTTAGATCGTGTAAATTACAGGTTTTTTGGGTTAGATGGTGGAGATTACTCGATCTAACCCAAAAAACCTGTATTATGCTGATATGGTAAATGTAAATAGCATCTCTTTGATACAATATGTAAATACATTTTTAATTTATAATAAACACATTTATTTTCATATCTCTGTGTGGGTGTCATTTGTTGTAACCCAATTCCAATTTTCCAGGTGCACGGCACCTGCCTGTATTTGAGGTGAGCATTGAGAATAAATTATATACATCAGCTGGAATTTATCCCGGGCACATCACAAACCGTGATGCTATGGCCACGTGTAACAACATTGCTTTAAAAACATCCCAAAGCAATCCCAATGTAAAAACATGCTTTGAAATAACACTGGTAAAAAAAAATTGGCAGATGTTTTGTATTTTAACTGTAATGCTGCAATATAACAAACTCTCTAGCGCATTGTAGATATGTTTTCATTGGCGGCTGGTGTGCAGTGCATTCAAGAGTATTTAAAGCTGGTTTTGCAGTGGCCACTTTAACAAAGTGTACCCCAAAACCATGCCTGTTGTCCATGCTGTGTATAGAATGACTCATAGCTGAGTGTGTTAAATCACTGACGTTTACAAAATCAACCCGTCCCAAGTGTCAGATTGGTGGCTGTGGGCTATATTAATCCACTAACATAAATTACATACCATATAAAAAATTGCCGACGTCTAATGGTGAGCACACTGAACTTGCAATCCAGGTGTCACCGGTTTGATTCGATTTCCCTGAGCGGCAGTTGAAACAACGATGCAAGTTCCTTAAATCCCCCGTCTGTGTCCACGCACAAGTATAAATGGGTACACCGGGAGGGCCAAGTGTGGTGGGGTAGAGCGTGGGTAACTTGCATCTCTTTCAAGACGTCTGGTGAGCATGGAAGAATAGGCCAATGTACTCTACAATCGGCTCTTTTGAGTTCCCTCTTGTGGAGACCCTTCTGCCAACAGTGGCATGAGTAAGAAATTGCAGAGCTGCATCTTCACCTTTGACGAATCCTTCATCAAAATTATGTCAAATCTTGAAAAACCGAAAAAGTATGCAAGTAGTTGCCGTTGTGTAAAACAATATAACCGGCAAGGTAACATTGTTAAAGCCAAATAAAGTTCACAAAGAACGTGTTGGTTTGTGTGTGTGTGTATATACCGTTGGGCTGTATTGTACATTGCTGAAGGCCTCGTATTCAGCCAGCAAAGCAAGCCGTCCGCTTTCAGAATCCCATACATCCTCTAGATAAAAAAAACCCCTGAGAATATTAGAAATCCTCACGAGTGAAGTTGCAAATGTTTCCTTCATTTTCCTATATTAACGTAAATACTACCAGAATAGTCGTCTTTCTTTCGTATGGATTAATAGATTAAAGATGTAATTTTAGATTTCATAATACAGTGTTTTTTGGGTTAGATCGAGTAAATATATAAATGTGTCATTAAACCCGCCACCACCCGACACAGCCAATTAGTAAGGGGTTGTCATGTAAACAGAACATGCCAATTCGTCACTAGTACAGCACACCGGTGTGTTGGAGAGTCAAGCCACAACATTTACAATCTTGAGTACGACGTTTCGCCAGTAATTACAACTAGCTTCATCAGGCAACAGCCAGATGTAATTTTAGATTTTGTCGCCCACTCAATTGTCTGTCAAGACGCAGAGTGGATCTCGTCCATTCCTCCTTTAAAGGAATGAAGACGGCAGCAGCAGCGGCGGAGTGTTTACGATGTGGGTCGATGGTTTGGGATCCATGCCGTCACTCGCAGGCCGTCCAATCTTTGATGCGCCATTTGTGCATCAGGTGGCTGCATCGCCTTTGCCCGGTCCTGATTCGATCGATGGTCGAACATTGGCTGCGTCAAAAGTTGAAACCGGGAGGTTCGATGGTCGGGTCCTGTGTGAGATGTTTTTTTTTTATCTCGGCCGCAGTCCAGCCTTGCTTCCATCACCAGAATAGGACATCGTATCTGGGTTTTTTTGTGTGACTTCAACCGACATAAGGAATCTCGCGAATCTGCCTGACGTCCTCACAATTCAAGCACATTGAGCCTCACCATCCCTGAGCTGACCTCGGAGCCGCCTGGCCGCCCCGGCAATCTCACGATTATTTTGTGCTATGCATTGTGACGTTTAGCCTCGGACCCATATTAAACAGCGTGGGTTCTCGTCTATAACAAACATCTGGCAGTTCAGCAACATTTCGTTCAAGGGAGTGCAACTTTACCAATGGAACAATTAATGTCTAAACCGGTCCAGAGTTTGCTTGTGTTGAATCAATGCTGCTGAAATTACGCACTCCCAGAAGGCGCCACACGTGTGAGCCGTGTCGCTGATGGGATGTGCAGACGAAACACGTTTCATTTGCCACATCGAGGGACTTATATGTATGTGAAGCAGACGTACTATCTGCCGCTCTATGTTGTGACGACGTTCATTCCCCACGACCACGCTCATGATCGCCAAGTTGCGAGTTCATCTCGAGAACGGTTATAAAAAAAAAACATTCCCGGAATCTCTCAGAAGCCACAGCACTAGTGGGGGGGGGGTGGTGGGCGCACAGGTGGGGGCTGGCATCCCTTGTGACGTCACCGTCGCGGGTGGGGTGGGGGCAGGGAGCCGGACTTTGCGACCCTACATGGGCACGGCACGGGACGCGCGTGCGCCTCCCGAGTCGCTTCGCGTCTCCGGGACGCCCCAGAGGCAAGCGGCAGCGAATCGCTTCGCCTCGCCCGTTAGTCGCCCCGGGGGCGGAAGCACGCGCTTAGAGAGACAGTGGCAGGGAGGCCGAGTGGCGCCTTCACCCCGTCGACTTGGGGGAGCTCCTCGATAGGGGGGAGGGGACAGCCGCAGAGAGGCGAAGGCGCTGCCGCAGCCACCTTGGCCAGGGGACAAAGTTGCGCTCGCAAACTCCGGTGGGAGACCAATCAGTTTCAAAGGCAATGCCATTATGTAACATTATTTTCCAGAGCACGTTTTTTGTTTGTACGTTTACCAACAAGCACTGTGGTGTGTGGTTAACGCAGACGCGATTCCTTGCAAAAAAAAAGGTTTCTGTTTGGCGTTTTAACATCTCAACACCTCTCTCATTGCCAGAGAGGGTGGAACATTATTATACTTGGCGGACGAGCGCCGGGGGCACGCTTTCTGAAAACTTTGCCGCGTTCAGAAGTTCTCAGTGGAGCTGTTCACCAACCCCCCCTCCCCCCACCACACACCTCCCCCCCACCACACAATCACCCTCCCCCCACCACACACCACCCTCTCTCCACCACACACCTCCCCCCCACAACACAATCACCCCCCCACCACACAATCACCTCTCCACCACACAATCACCCCCCCACCACACACCACCCTCTCTCCACCACACACCTCCCCCCCACAACACAATCACCCCTCCACCACACAATCACCCCCCCACCACACAATCACCCTCCCCCCACCACACACCTCCCCCCCACCACACAATCACCCCCCCACCACACAATCACCCTCCCCCCACCACACACCTCCCCCCCACCACACAATCACCCCCTCACCACACAATCACCCTCCCCCCACCACACACCTCCCCCCACCACACACCTCCCCCCCACCACACAATCACCCCCCCCCCACCACACAATCACCCTCCCCCCACCACACGCCTCCCCCCACCACACACCTCCCCCCCACCACACAATCACCCTCCCCCCCCACCACACACCACCCTCTCTCCACCACACACCTCCCCCCCACAACACAATCACCCCCCCCACCACACAATCACCCCTCCACCACACAATCACCCCCCCACCACACAATCACCCTCCCCCCACCACACACCTCCCCCCACCACACACCTCCCCCCCACCACACACCTCCCCCCCACCACACAATCACCCCCCCCCACCACACAATCACCCTCCCCCCACCACACACCTCCCCCCACCACACACCTCCCCCCCACCATACAATCATCCTGCCCCCCCCACCACACACCACTCTCCCTCCACCACACACCTCCCCCACCACCACACAATCACCCTCCTTCCCCCCACACACACCTCCATCCCCACCACACAACCCCCCTCCCTCCCCCCTCTCCCCCACCATCCACCTCCCCCCCACCCCCCCACCACACACCACCCTACCTCCCCTCCACCACACCCTCCCTCCCCTCCACCACACCCTCCCTCCCCTCCACCACAACCACCCTCCCCCCACCACCTCCCCCCCCCCCACCACACCTCCCACCACAACCACCCCGTACAAAGATGGCCGCCGAGTAGAGCGGCCGTGACGACGCCGCCGCCGGTTGGTCGAGGCGCGGCCCCCCTCCCTCCCCCCCGCCGGTCTGGCTGTGAAAGCGGCGCCTCAGTCGCTCCGCAGTGTGCCCGGAGGTGGTGGTGGTGCTGGTGGTCTTCCTCCTCTTACGTTTCCTCCTCCTTTCGTTAAGTTTTCCTCACGGCAGCTCAAGGGGGAAACGGCTCCTTCGCAACGCCGCGAGCACCATGCCCTACGAGCTGAGTGAGTCCGCGGTGCGGTGAATATGGTGAATAGGCCTGATGGAGGTCGTTCACCGGTCTCGACTAGCGGGGTTGGCCGGGATGGGGGCCGCCTTGGCCGGCAGCTCCGGCGTGTTTATTGCTCGGTGTTTTTGCGGTGAAATCCGTTGCTGTGTAGCCACTGAGTTGAAGGCAGAGGCGTCTGTTTGTGTCGACGACAACTCATCGGTTTATGGTTGCTTAAGTTAATCACGGGACGTACAAAGTACGTGCTTAGAAAGGGCCGGATGTCTCGGTTTGGGGTACGCCAGAAAGCGTATACAGTACCAATGTTTGTGTTTATTTAACGCGTAAGACGTTTAGACTGCAGCAAGTATGAGCTGCATCTTTGAGGGAATCTGTCTTCTCTGTTCCGAAGAAATACAACAATCTGCAATGTTCGATACTTTTTGCTATGTGTTAACGAAGAACGTGATGTTTTTTTGGGTGTATCGTTGGACTGCACCGTGCACGTATAAATCACTTGGTTTCATTTCTATGGTTAGGTCGAAAAAATGTTTAATTCGACTAAAACTCACAAAATCGACTGGAATGGCGAAACGAATCTTCGAACAGAAAGTATCACCACGGAGGACAAATATAGCTCCGCCTTGCTACAATGCGCGGAATTTAGAACAGAATGATGATGAAGACGTGTGGCGTTATTACAGAGCGTTCATTATCCCAACTCGTACGACTGCACCTGGAAACTTAGTGACTGCGTTGACAATAAAAAACATCGCATTTCCTTATTTTTTTGTTAAAATCCGACACCTTAGCTCATGTCCCTTCTTCCCACCCCTCCGGCGCTGATTTAAATGGCACGCCACGTGAATCGCGATGGAGGCGGTGTCCGCACGCAGCCAGCTGCTGCTGCTGTTGTTGTTTGTGTGGCAGAGCCGCGTAATCCGCTACGCGCGGCTTAGTCAAATATCGGCGACTTAAATTGAACGAGCGGAAACGTGCAGCTTTTTATTATTGTTGTTCGGCTTCGTAGTTCAACAACACCGCGGTGAGGTTGCTGAGGATTGTATCCTGCTGCGTTTAAGTGTTAAAAGCTCCGAGCTTTTGTGATACCTCGCTTCTCGCTTTGACCGCTTCTCGTCGCGCAGAACCTCGCGTCCGTGAATGATCGTCGCGAGTCGCACCGACATCCCCCGGTCCGTCTTAACAACACGAAACGGGGGGAGGATTCCTCCACAGAACGTGTCCGTCGACTGACGGCGCTCGCCGGTCGTTGATTGCTGGCGAAACGTCACCGCACTCGAATTGTGAATGTGTGTGGGTTTACTCTCCAGCGCACCAGGCTGTGTTGCTGTATTAGTAACGTAACTGCCACGTTGTGTTTACGTGACCAACCTTACTAAGTGGCTGTGGCGGGTTTCACGACACATTTATATTTACGCGACCTAACCTAACCCCAAACCCCCGCCTCTTTCGTGGATGATGTTTTGTCGCGAACCCAGCGCCCCGTGGCGATCGATTGAAGGGTCCCCTAGCGAGGTGGGTGATGAATAACGTGGCCCAGTTTCAACAGTAAAGCATGCGAGTCATGTGAGGGTTTTGGTTTGAGAATTATCTGCTCACGATGGGCTTCCTGTTGGCGCCGGCAGTTTCTTACATCCTTGTCGATGAGGTCCTAACCCTCCGATAACTATCGCCGCTGTGCGTTGTGGTAAGTGGCCGTAGTGTAATACTTTTTAACAAGCACAAGTTTCCCCAAATACAGCAGCCACACTCGATCGATGAGTAAGGCAGCTAAATTGAGACGGCGACTTCAACGGCATCACAAATGGTGTCGATACGTTTCGCTAAACATCGATTGCTTGAGTGGTGGCTGCAATTGTAAAGGTTGTTTGCAGGTGTACCAACAACGCGTTTGATTGTAAAGGACAAGACGCCTTTGTGATAACGATAACCAATCCCCTTTACGATCAAACGGGGGTGGGTGGCAGGTGGGGCCCGGGTGGGTTACTTTGTGCAAAACAATGAACCTGTTAATCATAACCTGTTGATGTCAGTGGAGGGGGGGGGGATTTAATTCTGATGAAATCGAAGTCGATGGAAGGGGCTGGGGGTATAAAGGCTGGGCAAGGAGGCAGTGGTTTGAGTTGTGAGAAGCAGAGGGCTTAGGGCGGCCATTTGGACGGAGAGAGAGATTGCGAGGGAGGGTGTCGGGGTCCACAGATTCTTATCGTGCTCATGAGCAGCGCTCCAAGCGGAGCTCTCGTAGGATATGTAACACGGTATCTTACTGAGCTCTCAAAGGATGTGGAACACGGTATCTTACTCGACGTCATTTCATCTTGTGCGAGTTACCGCCAGACACTATTGTGTCATAAGCTTATTCACTGGCGATTGAGCTGTATTAAATAAACTCGTAACAGGTTTCCCCTCCCTTCATTGTTTACTTTGCAGCCATTCAATCCTACAAGAAATATAAACTTTCAGAAACCGATACACTCTGATGTGGTCTCTTATTGACACGGCTTTATTTATCCGAGCACCTGCTACAGTGTTCACTGCAACTCTTAAGAGTCTTCAGAAGCAGAACAATATGCAACGTTCCTATGTGACTCTATTGCTCAAGTGACTTCATGTTTGAAAAATGCATTTACCAAAATATAATCTATATATAGCAGCGAGCTATATATGTAGAGTACGCCACTCCGCAGTTGCAGTGAGACGGCATATAGAGAGGGGAGGGCCTCTTTGACATTTCCGTAACCCTTCATCGTCCAAAAGTGTCAGCCCGGGTTATTCAGAGGTTCACGATCGGTGACGAGTGGATGGATCGAGCAGTTTAATGAATGACTGATGCCATTCGACATGCTGCCGTGGGATGACTCGTCGGGCTAATTGTACACGAGGTCGCGACTTGATGTGTTCTTAACTACTGGCAGTGCATTTTTTTTATTTAACACGTAGGGTTTTTTGCGACCAATATGATTCACGATAGATTGTGTCCGATCGCGTAAGTAAAATGTGTAATCGGGCAACTGCGTGACGAAGCTTATTGCTACTAACAGCGAAACGTCGTACCAAATTGTTACAAGTTATGAATTGCTCTCCAACACACCGGTGTGCGGAAGCAGTAATAATTCGGCATGCTTATTCACGTGATAACTTATTCATTACTTTTGTCGGGTGGATGAGGGTTTACGACACATGTTAATCACGCATTCTGACCCAGAATCAATTGTGAAATAAGGCAGTGCAGCTCTGTAAACCAATCTGCAGGGTGTGGTTGTGGAGGTTGTAGTTGGCTGAGCAGGATCGGGCAGTTGTTGGAATTGGAATGGGCGTTGGCAGTCTGGCTGGCAATGCCTTGAGAATGTCACAGCTTGGGTGTACAGTAGTTTAAGTAAAGGTTTTCATTTACAAATGCCTTGCGTGACATTGGGAGGTTATTTGCCTATGAAATGGGAAGAGACATTTGCAGTACTTTACTCTTTAATGAGTTTTTTACATTTATAAAAAAAAATTGTCTTCTTTCCTATTAGCAGATCTGAGGTGCTGAACCAGGGTGTGAATGTCGTTCTCTCCATAAGATAAGGTGATTGTTAATTTTATACAAAGTTGTACTCTTGTCATTGACCCCAACGTGTGTGGGGGGGGTGAATTCAACGGTGCCAGAATTACAACTCACAACTTTCCATTTGAGCCATATGCACTCACAAAAAGCCACTTGGCAGGATGTGAACACACAAAGTGTGTGGAATTGAAACGCGAATGTGCATAAAGTTAGGTTCGGGGAAAAAAGCCCAACTTGTGTTCATGCTTCGGCAAGTGTGAGGGCCGTCTTTTATCTTCCGTTCGAGCCCATGGCTGAAATTCCTCATTCCTGTTGTGACATGCAATCACGTTTTGACACACACCTTAAAGGTGTTTTTTTATTTGTTGGACGTGTTCACATTTCTTCGTAAAATGCACAATGTAAATGATAATTTCCAACAAATCAGTTTTAAAAAAATATTACAGGAAGCTACTGCTGAAATAATATTCGTTTTTAGTCAGTTATATAGATAAGCTTATTTATTTGGCATGTTGCCCATCTGCTTTCCAAAGGTCTGGGAACTCACTACATTGCACTTAAAACACATGGTTTGAGCCTTTTTATGAAAATAATTTATTTCTGAAAATTACATGAACTGTGCTTTATTTGATTATTTAATTGAGCAATGCTGAATGCCTCTTGAGTATTGTTTACTTAAATAATAATTGATTGTAGCTGTACAGGAAGCACTTGTAAATCCTTAGACTTCTTACAGAGCAGCACTTGTGTTTTTATGGTCTGTGCATGCATGTTGAACTTATTTCGCACTGTATGTAACCCCACCGCGCCAATTGGAGGTGCACAACGCTTGCATATGCTTGTTGTGCACTGCACGTTGGGAGACTAAAGACGGATGGGTGTCCGTGCTTCGAGGTTTAGGGTTTCACCGGTCTGAATGAAATCTGAATTAAATCTCAGCTGCCTGATAATGTGTTGTGGGAACTTTGTTGAACAAGCAGTCACCACCCGAATGTGTACTTGTTTGCAAGAGTGTAGGGTGTTGTGTGCATGCCGTGACCAAATTGAGTAACTGGGTTCCCAAAGCCTCCGACTCGCACTCGAATTGTGGAGTCGGTTTGCGAAATTGTGTGCGTTAAAGTTATTTGATTATTATTACTACGTTTGAAGCCTTTCGTTTAGTTTTCATACTCTCACTTCCTGTCATGAGTGGAAAAACGACAAAAACTAGGTGCTGTTGTGTTCACTGGCAAGGTCGAGCTGGGCTAAACTGCCTGTTGGTAATAATAGGCATTTGGTGAAGACTGTACAGTGTATGCTGCTTAAACCACAATTGTGAAAAAAAAAACTGCTGCTGCTTAAATGGTCCAGTCCGGGTCTGACTCTCAGTGAAAACACGTTGAGGCCGACCTACTCTTCATCGGTGACCAGGAGCCAGTGGTGGTGGACGTTCCACATGCAAGAGACGTAATTTATATTTTGTGTTTTCCCTCCGCCTTTGAAGGCTCGTCAGCAATATTTTTGTTTCCATTCGCCCAAGAAATGTAGGGGAAATGTCACAACGTAGAGAGTTGTGGCAAAAAAGTTGTGTTTGTCCAAATCTCAGGTAGATATGTTGGTTTGAAACAAGGGGGTATTGCACGGGTAATGGAGGGGTGGTGGTTGTAAAGGTCAGTGGGAAGGTCACTCTGTAGGAGAAGCAGTCTGCCCCTGCACTTGAAGCTGCTGTTGCAGCGTATCAAACCCCAATCCATCTGCGCACGCAAGGCGGCAGTGCACAACACGTCACACGCTTCACTCGCAGCCTCACAACATGCAGTCCACAACGCACTACTCTGGATTGCTCACAGCCTGACAATGTGCAGTGCACTCTCCACCGCACGCTTTTATTCACACCCTCATTGTGCAGCACACGGTCATATATACTGCGCACAACTACTCGCAGCCTCACAATGTACCGTGCACAATTCGAAGCACACGTATGTATGTTAAACTTGTTTTGCACCGTTCGTAGCCATATGCACAGCCTTAAATTTGCAGTGCAAGAGAAGTCCCCGTCACTGCATGTCATGGGTGTTCGAGATCGACTTACCTGCAAAAAATGGACATTTATTAGCTTGTAGATACCTCAACTGTGGGTCCTGAACTGTCTAATATATTTAACGTTTGTTAGTTATAAAAAAAACATTTCATTCCCTTTCAAAAATGCTCCAGTTACATTGCTCTGTCTTTGCTGCCATAAATGACGTACATCTCTCCGGGGATGTCACTGGCGAGCGCCTAACATCACAAACATTTTTATTTCTCATTCATGCAGCTTGCAACTGATGATTGGATATCCTGGAGTGCATAGCCGAGGTACTTGTATCAGTTAACAATTGTTTGTGTCTCGAGTTGTCTTCCTTTAAGCAGGAGATGAGACTAGGGCTCGCGGTATGAGGTGATGGGATTCAGTGTTCCGCACCTCCCGATTATCACGGTTGGCTACGTATGGTGCGAAAGAAGTTCAACATTCATACGCACATGCATTCATGTGTGGTTCCACGTGCCTGTGATGCAGTATTTTGGAGGTGGTGTTGCTGAATTGTGCAGAGATCATCACACGTGACAATCCTAGTCCGCTGGGCTTCACGACAGCCAATATATGACACCTAGAGCAAGTAGGTTGCTGGTCTATTTATGCAGATGTTTTAGTTTACCTCTTGTGTATGTAGTTCTTCATTGTACTCCAGTTTTCTCATTTAAAATTAAATGTGGAATTGTACAAACATTACATAGGTATAAAATAAAAATAAATCACGACGTTTCGATTGCAACACAAGCAATCGTCATCAGGTGGGAAAACCACAGCAAGATTTTTTGCTGTGGTTTTCCCACCTGACGATTGCTTGTGTTGCAAACGAAACGTCGTGATTTATTTTTTTTATTTTCTACCCACGTGACTTTACCGAAAGAACCAGAGAGTGGATTCCTGCAGTCACGAAAGCTTCAAATCTAGATTGGACAAACATTGCTCATGTAGTATCCTTGTGAATACAGTGAAGCACACACAGGGTTTTCCTGGATCCAATGAAGGATAATTATTATTTCTGTTATTATTCAATTTGGGCATTGACTCGCCCCATGATTGCTTTGGGAGGTTGATCAAATGGGTAGTGCCACTTTTGGGGTAACAGCAGTAGGTGCTATGAAAGACTGGGAATGGGGAATTGCCACCACTGGCCCAGGTCCACCAAGTGAGATGAGCACCACGTTACACTCGCTTGAGTAGGGAGACATACAATTTTTTTTATTACGGTTGGTTAATAAACTTGCAGTAAAAGCATCGGCTGCTGCTTTTCACAGCGCTGAACAGCTGGCCAATCACATGGGCTGTGTTTGTGCGTGTGACGTCCTTACTGTCTCTCGAGGTTGACTGCATTGCGCACACCACTCCTGTTTCTGTGCCTCACTGTGCTTGGTGACCCTTGTGCTGCCAAGCCGCATTATGTCCAGTAGAACAGTAATTATGCTCAGTGCTAATGTACAGTTGACAAATGCTGTGAATAGTGCTCCTTGTTCCAATTGCTTGCTTGTCACGTTTCAAACTGACTGCCTATTTGCTCTATTTACCAACTCTCATGTCCCTTATAATCCCATGCCATGTCCCTTATAATCCCATGCTATGTCCCATATAAGGCAAAGTGTTTCCTTGTATAAAGTTGCAATCATCTCCATTGGTGGACTTTTCACATTTATATGTCAGGAATTAGTCATTTCATAGGACTACTCCTGTTGCCTTCTCTCAAAGTGGTGCTAATTCTATCAGCCCCAGAGTGATTGGCTAAGTCCATCCCACAACCATATTCTGTGGTACGTGAATACAGTTGGTTTTTTTTCAGTTCGAGTAAGCATTGGTCCACTACTGATTCTCCGTGTTCAGCATTTTAAAAAGGCTTGCAGGTCTACTGGCTAGAATATTGATTTCTATATTCATCCATTTCCTCTCCCACGACGTTTAGGTTGCATGCATTCCAAAATTACACCTATAACTAATTTTGCATGCACTTGTCACCCTTGATTAAGTGTATACAACAAATGAAGTCGTTACAGAAGTCTTTGTTGCTGAGACAGGTTTGCCTTTGTGCAATGTCATTTAAACTAAATCTGGCCAAAGTCTGCAGCTGTTTTAATTTGCAGGATATTGTGTATATGAACCCTAATTGAAGTGTATTCTCTGCAATGGTTTGCCTGCTGCGTTACCGTCCTTGGGTTTGGCCATACACATGAGTAACAAGTACTTTTTGAACTTGACCTGGCCCATTCTTCGGTAAACGCTGCCCTGATTGAGTAACTTGTGCACTGTGCAACCGTCATCGCCGTGCACACAAGGACAGGCAGAATACATGCATGTTTCTGGCCACACCACCCCACCCGTATGCCATGCCAGCCTTAGTGCCCGTTAACATCACTGCTATTTGAATTTACGACCTTATTGTGATTGACTTACTCGATTCACAGCACCGCAGTGATTATATTGCTTGCATTTATGTGAGCACAGTACTTGTCTCATTGACACACTGGGTAGCTGTGAAACAAGCATCTGAAAGAAGGGCACAGTATCTAGTGCCCACCCCCCCGTTCCCCTGCAGTGTTTTTTTTGCCCATATGCTGAGCCGCTGTGTGTTCCGTGCCGCCCTCAGACAGCGTGTTTGCCTGCCTGCCACAAGTGGAACGTGGCGTGCCCAAGGTACTGGGTGGGGACCCCAAGGGAGTCAACTTCCTCTACACCAATGGGCGCAGCGTCATCATCCGCAACATTGAGGTGCAGTGAAAGTGGTTCGTGTTTTGTAATGGGCCTCACGGGGTCAGTGAAAAGTCAGTGGTTTCCTAGCTCAAGCCAGCGAGTGCCGATATTGAACTCCGTTGACAGCACTAAACCAGTGGTGCACATTTACACATTCCTGTTGCGAACAGCCATTCCCTCCATACGAAGGCCACCGATAAGCTCTTCCCAAGTGGTCTCAGGCATGAAGTGTTCGGTCAACCCCCGACCAGAATTTGAACTTGCAGCCTTCAGATTGTTAGCAGAGTGCTCAAATCACTGTACCGTCGGGGCAGTTCCCGTTGTGTAAGGTGATACGTTTAATGTGCAAGTGCCTTGTGGAGCTGACAGTTACACGAGACGTTTGACTACTCGCGAATGTTTACTCAACTCACGAGTCTTGCTGTTACTGTAAACCTTATTGTGTCATGTAACAGCTGTGCAACTGTTTCCTTTCTGTCTGCTGCTTCTGCCTCTTAAGTATGCATTTCCATGCTGTGTATTCTGCAGTATTTCCGCATGACTGCTTGAACATTGCCCCGCTCTCTCTGCTTATTGTGTTGCTTCTCCACATGTGCACTTCTTTGCTGCATGTGCTCTGTTGTTAGCCTTGTTCTCTGTTCAACATCTGCATTTGTTATTTCGCTGAGTTCCATCTTCTCCTATGTGACAAATTACGCTGCTGTGTGTTTAGCAGTCTGACTGTTTGCTTGCCCTGTTTTTTTTACGTCTCCCTGTGCGACGATCATTGTTCACAGAACCCCGCAATAGCGGACGTGTACACAGAGCATGCACACTTCACCTCCGTCGCCAAATATGCGCCCAGTGGCTTCTACATCGCCTCTGGAGGTTAGCACCACTGCATCTCTCTACAACACCAGTGTCCACAGATTTCCTTACAAAAAAATCATTGGGCTCTCTTGTGCAGAAACTTTATACGTAAAAAACTTGCCACGTTATTACCCCCACTGCCTTAAAAGAAATATACATAAGGCAAACGTTTCACTAATAAGGCCCTGATGCAGAGTAGGATGATGGAAAAACGGTCCAAAATCTTAGCCGAATGTATTTTCTGTGATTTAATCAGTTTTAATGACAAAACTTGTAATTTAATATAGATATTGATTTGTGCCAAGTCTCTTAATGTGGCTAAGTTTACGCACAAAGCGGAAGTGTTTCATTTTTAAAAATCAAATACTTTCAAAAAATGCAGTCGGTTCTCGGAGATTCGAATTGTCTCCTGATAAACCTTATATGGTATTCAGCATCCGTGCTGTAGCCCTCCAATGTCCGGCCATAACAGGCCGCTCAAAGGTGCTATTTATTGCCATGCATCGCATCAGGGTTGGCTGGCTGACAAATGTTTGCAAGGCTGCCTGGCTCTCGAGAGGGAGCGACCGTGTTCAGAATGTTCATTGATTCTTTCATTGCCTTGTTTGATCAGTGGCTTTTTCTATAATACCTTATACAATTGTATCAAATCTTGACTTAAAGCTTTCGTGACTGCAGGAATTCATATTCTTTGGGTCTTTCAGTAAAGCCACGTAGATAGAAAAAATAATATATATTTATAAATCATAACAATATCACGACGTTTCGATCGCAACACACAAGCAGTCGTCATAAGGTGAAGAAAAAAGCGATCGAAACGTGATCTTTTTATTATAATTTTTTCTATCTACGTGGCTTTACCAAAAGACCCAAAGAATACAATTGTATTACTTAATTTGAGACGCCAGCAGTTACATTTTCACCAATTAAGACTGAAGTGAAGACAGGCTTATATTTGAAAGCCGCACACTTAAATGTATGTGTTATAAAATGTACGATTCTTAACACACATGGCAGATTGCTTGACACATGTATCCAACCATTGCAGGACAAAATAGGCAACTCTGATGTGAGATCACTGTTTCATGATGAAATAATTATCAGTATCGGCTTGATTTTGGGCTCAAAAAAAATTGCTCAGGTGCTTCCCTGTATCAAGTGAAGCTCATAACAACACCAGAAATTGGGAATTGTCAGGGTATTCCCACTTCAAAAATACAAGCCGAGGTATGGCAAGCACGGAATCATCAGGTGACGCTGTTGTGTTGGTAATATTTCTAGAATATCCGGGATAATGAGGTTAGTCTTGCCCGATGCCATGTGCAGTGACATTACTCAAGGGTCTACATTAAGGCCAACGTTATTATATTAATTTTCCCCATCCTTAATGGTTGAGTAGCCAATTACTACATTGTTGATGGGATAAACATGTTGATGTAAGCTCTTCCCACAATCACTCGGCGAAAAGGGCAGTGGCTCTTGTGTTATCCCCACACCGCCCGCTCCTTGTGTGCCTTGCTCTGTCAACGTGTGTCGTGTGGTAGCGGCATCGGTGACACGCATATCGCTTTGTCGCAGACACCTCGGGCAAGGTGCGCATCTGGGACACGACCCAGAAGGAGCACCTCCTCAAGTACGAGTACCAGCCATTCGCGGGCCGCATCAAGGACATCGCTTGGACCGAGGACTCCAAGAGGATTGCGGTGGTCGGCGAGGGGCGAGAGAAGTGAGCCTCGTGGAGTAGCCCAGTTGCTGCGCAGATAATTTACACACTCTTCCTTCTATCTTTAAACAAAACACTGGCAAGACATGTATGTATGTTGAACTTCATTCACGCCGTGCGTAGCCAACTGCTAATTGGAGGTGCAGGGGAAGGAGAACAAACTGAACACAAAAAAACATGGTGACGATGTACGGGTGCGAATCCACTGACTAGTTAGTCACGTTCGAGGATCGTGCAGGGCGTGAGAGCAACGATGTGTGAAATACCCACGTGCCAGGTAGTGAAGGAAATAGGTTTCCGGCAGGTTGTGTCTTGAGGTTTTGAGTATTCTCAGTGTGATTTTAAGCTTTCATCGGGTTCTCTGATTTCCTAATGTGCAATACACAAAACATTTTTCCAACATCTGAACCCTGACACAAACCCTTCAGAAAAACTTGAGACTTTTGTATTTTTGTTGTTTAAACTATTACAATTATTAGATTATAAATATAAATGTTAAGGTATCTGGATGCATGACACTGTACCAAAGAACACACATTATAACTAGAACTTTGGCTTAACCTTTCATTTATTTGTTGTTGATAAAATAAGTATGACTTTGTGAGAACCTAGCAGTGGGTTGTACTAAAGAGTTGACTGGCCCTGGCCATAGCAATATTACAGTTGCACCATTGGATCAGCATTGCCAGCTGAGATGCCCAGCTCTCTACACAGGATTAAGCATGGGGATATGCCGATTCATAAACGCACCATGGCGTAAAGTAGTACAAGTCGCAGCATTTGGCAGTAACAAACCTGTGCCAGCAACTGCTTCCATGCATCCTCGTCTTCCTCTACACCCCCATCGTGCTACTTTCCCTGGCTACTCCTGCGTGCAGTTTTGGCGCCGTGTTTCTGTGGGACTCGGGCTCCTCGGTGGGTGAAATCGTGGGCCACAGCAAGGTGATCAATAGCGTGGACATCAAGCAGACGCGCCCGTACCGCCTCGTGACGGGCAGTGACGACAACAACGCCGCCTTCCTGCAGGGCCCGCCCTTCAAGTTCCAGTTCACCACGTCGGTACACAGCCTCCCTTCCGCTGCTGCGTCATGTCCTTGGCCTTAATCGGAAGTTGTTCCATGAAGGGTCAACATCTACTGTGAACCTAATTGCCATCAGCAGCACACCCAAAAGTAGCTGTCTGTCTGACCTGCTCCTTTCTGACCTGCTCCTCATCGGATTCCTCCAGTCTAAATAAGGACTCTGATTATGAGTAGTTAATTGATCTCGTATTTAAGAGCCTGCTCGTTGTAATTAGGTGGCAGGATGGAGGGAATATTTGATTTCACAGTTTAGCAATATTGGCGTGTGAAATTTTCATCATCAGGCATGATCAATCTACTGGTTGATGAAGGCCTTCCCGAACTTTTTCCACCGTTCAGGGTCTTACGATGCAACAAACAATCCGTTTTGGATCAATAAAATTACTACCACATTCTGGATAATTAACGACCTTCCCGTGGAGAGATTGGCCCTCAATATGAAAATGTAGAATTTCCTCCTGGCTCAATTTTGCCAATGGTTCCCCATTGCTGTATTGAGCATGAAAACACTTTTCACGTAATCATGTAAGTATTTATATTAAACTTGCCTCTGCACACCTTCCCTGTTTTTCAGGATCATTCCCGCTTTGTCAACAGTGTGAGGTTTTCGCCCAACGGCAACTTTTTTGCCACAGCCGGCGCAGATGGACAGGTACGGTCAAGGTGTTGAGTGACTACAAATGTACATTGCTATGGCATTAGGCTTCATTTACCTTTACACACCCTTTCACCTGTGGATGTCACGGTATAACGTTGGAATTTCATAATGCTTTTTCTTCTGTCATGTCCTATAAGCAAGTGTATGCGTTCACTTAAGGGGCTCTGGAAATTATCAGGAGCTACAATAGGCCACAACCAATGTTAGTAAGCTTTATAATGGTTGTGAAAGAGTAATGAGTTTTGATTTAAAGCTTTCGTGACTGCAGTAATTCATATTCTTAGTTTTTTCGGTAAAGTCACGTTGAAGAGAAACAACAAAATAATAAAATATATATAAAACACCTGAAGATGACCGTTTGAGTTATGGTCGAAACGTCGTGAGAAATTTTTATTGTTTTATATATATTTTATTATTTTGTTGTTTCTCTTCAACGTGACTTTACCGAAAAAACTAAGAATAGTAATGAGTTTGTTCGGTCCACAGAATAAATGCATTAACAGTGGCAACAGATCCCTGCTATTTTCATATGGTTTTCTTGCTGGTCCCGTGAGAAGTGGCAGTATAATCATAGACGCATTCCATGTATTCTACATCAGCAACTATACAAAAACAAAACTGTTCTCTTTTAAAGTGTGGCTGCGTTATTGGAGAGGGAGCAAACACCTGGCATATATTGCAGTCGCACTGTGCTTTGATGGGTCGTGGACAGTCTTGAGCAATGCAATGGGTTTTTTTTGTCAGATCTTTATATACGACGGGGCCTCCGGACAGAAGGTTTCCTCCCTGGGAGGCGAGAAGGCCCACGATGGAGGCATCTACGCGGTAAGGGGTCACCCTGCCCGCTACCCCCTCGATAGATCTGTGCAACTTCCGTTTATTCCATGAACGTATTTATTGTGATTACTGCATAATCTTGTGATGACGGTTATGTGAAAGCATACCCTGTGCATGTCGCTCTTTCACTGCACACTGAGGTCATCTTTTGAGGAGGCTTGTGCCAACATTTTCACACTGGCCCAGTATATCTGTATTACTGCAGGGTGCACAAACATTGGGGGATGAATATCCTTACCCAGGGCTTTAAATCACCTTGTTCTCGAATAAACCTGGCACCTCTGGGCTGTGGGTCCAGGATCCACTTAATGTAGTTGAAAAATTAAGCTTGATAGGAAGTCAACAATAGTTGTCGTACTTAGAGAATGGTCCCCCACCATAAGAAGGTAGCATCTACCACCATCAACCCAGGACCACCAACGAGACGACCACCAATTGTTAATTTGAATAGAGGAACACTTGGAATGTATTAACACTTTATTGGACGAGGTAGAGTATGAGGCAGAATCCACTGGACAGACAGAGCTCTAAACCTCGAAAGCTTTTCACGTGCTGATAATGGGATATCAGCCTTCCCATTTGACTTAATCCACCTATTTCTTTTGTCCTGAAGGCTGCCATGGAGCACTGTCAAAACACTGAATAATTTAAGCCTGAGCACATCAATGTTTGATGCTTTCCGAAGTGAACACTCCCTAAAGTGGCCTTGACTTCAGAGATGGGCAGCATTCTTGTGCCTGTGTGCATATATTTGCTTGCCTGTTTTGTTTGTGTTGCTTCTAAGAGTATTGGCTTCAGTTCGTAATTTAATGCTAAATCTCAACAGTTCGACTTAAAAACATTATGCATATCCCATGATCAATAATTTTTTTGTCACGAGGCACCATTTGTCCGAGCACAAGCTTACATTTTGGTCTGCGGTGAACTGAACCTATCAGATGAAGTTAATATTGGTTGTGAAATTTGAGATAATGACTTGCTATAGAAATGTAGAATTGTTACCACTGGCTCAGAGCCATCAATAGAGATTAGCACCAATCCAATGTTTTCTTGAGCAGGCAGATACTTGGACTTAATCATTAATGGTTATAACATTTGTGATTATGGTGGCAAATGCTTTTTATTTTGGATTAAGGGGTTAATACATGATTGAGTTCAGTGGAGCTCAGACATTGACCAGCTGTTCCGTACGTCTGTTGTCTCCACGTTATAGTGGGTCTAAGCCGTTCCGGCCTACACCACAGCACTGCCTCCCACCCTTCCCATACACCAACCGTCACTCTGAATCTACCTTTCCTTAAGAATGTTATTCTTGCTCAGAATAATATATAAATGCATAAGGATTTGAGAGCCAAGCACAATAACAAAAGAGCAATTGTATATATACGACTATGGATGATATTAAACGTAATTTATTCAAACTGCAAATAGCACAGTCATTTCTGAGTTTGCTAACACTAGCTTCATCAGTCTCCAATATTGACCAGGCTACAGTGAACCATATTTTTCTCCCCTTGCTTGGGGCTGCCAATGGAGATTGGCAGCGCTCAACAATCGTGAGCACTGAAGACTGCATTAAGATGCTCGACTTGTGATTAAATCGGTGCACGCCCTGCAAATTTGTAACTTTCTTTGCAAACACGGTAGGATGCTTCTTACTGATAACACTGAAACTAACAATATATATTCTCGAGACAGCCAAATTACCCTCGACAGTTACCATGCCAGGACGAACAGATTTACACACGGTTTGGTTAATCGACACCATGAGTCCATACTCTGGCAAGACGATGCTAAACACTTTGCACGTGGATAATGTCGGTGTGTGGGCGTAGGTTTGCTGGAGTCCCGACAGCACCCAGCTCATGTCGGCATCGGGCGACCGCACGGTGCGGTTGTGGGACGTGGCCGCGGGCCGCGCCACCACCACCTTCACCATGGGCGCCGAAGTCAACGACCAGCAGCTGGGCTGCCTCTGGCAGGGCCAGCACCTGTTGAGCATCGGCCTGTCTGGCTACATCCACTACCTGGACCGCAACAATCCTAGCAAGCCAATCCGCGTCATCAAGGTAACCCCACTGGAATCGCGAACTCTATTGTTATCATGTCATAGTCATTATTTTATACCTGTGTCTGTGTAGAACCATTTTGTTAAACGTGATAAATGAGGGCCCATGGTGTGATGTAATTTGACCAAAAATTCACCATACCGGTAAAAGTGGCGACCATAGACATGGGAGCATGAAAGTACAGTAAAACAATGCCGTCCACAAAAGTAGCCCATAACAATCTGCTGGCATGATCGTCACACGTCTAAAAAAACATCCATGCGCAACACTCATTAGATTTTGAGATCTGACAAGATTGGGTACATTCTGGTTGATTCGTTCATAAACTGTCATCATTTTCGACATAATATTCACAGTAATGGCCTTTATTGTCACTCGTCGTAGTGACTGCTTGTAATTTTCATCTTCCTGGCTATCTTTGTCGTCATTGTCAACATTTTCATTATTGCCATCATGATCGAGGATTAATAATCACCATCACCACCCCATTGATATCGAGACTCTACAACGTAGATTCATCAAAATGGCTCTTAAGCAAGGTGTAATAAATGGCTCCTTGAACAAGTGTCTTGAATAGCACCTGCAAGGCTGTAATTGTCTTTATTCCCAATGAGAAATCATTCCTTATGGAATTCCAATGGGGGTAATAATTTTGGGTTCTACGATAGACAAGCAACTTCGAGCTTGAAACAGGCATTTGATCAGATAACCCGAACGCATGACTTGTCATTTCCTTTTAAAATTCACAAATCAATTGGAGAGCAATGTTACGTCACGCCTGGTAGGCATTGACCAGCATCTTAATGCCACAGTAATTTTACTTGTCGAGTCTCTTGAAAACCACATGTGAAAATGTTTACATTTTTACAATTATAAAATACTTACATTGCAACAATTCTAATTATTTGCCCTAATTAATTTAAGTATTGTGGCAAGGCAAAAAATGGCCGGTTTTAATGATTACTTTTCTGAGCGAGCTGCTCCATTTACGTAAAATGACGTCACGCTATTTCTGCATCACCGATTAAAGCCGCGTTTGGTTCTTGCATGTGGTTTTTATTGCGATGGTTGCAGGGACACAGCAAGTCCATCCAGAGCTTGACGACGCACACCGGTTCGGGGTCTCCGACCATCTACTCGGGCAGCTACGACGGCCATATCAATATCCTGCTCGGAAGCACACGTGAGCGAGAGTGTGCGTCGATTTGTCACTCGGTCAGAAGTGGATACGGGGGTGGAGGGGTGGCAGGCAGGCAGGCAAATCCTGTATCGGAGCTCGTGTTGAAGTAGAATGTAGTGAAGTGACTATTGGGCTTACAAATAGAAATGCTTTTGCTGTGGTGCTGATACGGTGAAATGTTGTGGTGGTGGTGGTGTTGTATAGCAGCGCACACCCACAATCCAGCAACTTTGAATCAGGATTGGTGGATCGGGCTGAGCTTTTTCACGAGACGCCTATCGTCTAACCGAAGGGGTGCATGACTGCTTGAGGCCTCTGTAGGAGGTAATACATCAACTAACTTTCTGTAACATTGATGCCAAGCTTTGATTAGTCTCCCGTATACATTTAGTGTCTGCCAGCACACATGCAAAAGTAGAATTCGCCAACATTCTAAACAGGGCCCTCTATAAAATGTCTTAAGACTGTGCAAGAAGACGTCCCTGGTGAAAAATACTTCAACATTATTAAATGTCAACAGTGAATGATGGTAACTATTGCAAATTTAACTTAACGTTCTCAATGGTCATCTTTATATCCAGGCACATACATCATTGTCGTGTTTTATAGTGCAAACATGGGACGGTAATGTAACTCAAGGCTGAGGAAGTCGATTTATTGCTGTCGGCACACTGTGAGCTTGAGCATGAAAAGTCTCAAAGGGGAAACCACGTCCTTCAAGACCGATTAGAATAGCGGGTCACCGTTAATCACTCGACAGTGACGCAAGCAACGATGCTCAAAGAGAAACTTCAGCAGAATTAATGCAAGAGTTATGAAAGCTATACCTTGCCTGGGCACTTCCAGAAAAAAATACGTGAAGGAACAAATCACCTCCCGCCAACTTGGCAGCAGGCCATGAAGAAGGAGAGGACCAAAGTCATTCTAACACAAATAACATGTAAAAAATGAATGCATGATAATCTGTTTTCAATGCCATGGGATATAACTGACTCTAAGATACTTGACCATGATACAAGTTTCCCAATTGCTAATAAATCATAGTGTTTTAACATAAATACATCACAGATGCTGCTATAGTATATTGGATAGGATTCCTTCACAGGTCTGGTGGTGCTTTGATTAGAGCACCGTAGTAACTTAAGATCCACTGTTGGATGCAGCCCTTCCCATTTCATGTCGATCATGAGCATTGTTTGACCATACTTTACCGTGCTGGTCAGGGCAGGTTAGTAAAGTGGAGTGGGGGCCGTGACCAGGTAAAATATCACTCGCTACTGATATTAGCTGTGGCCGGGAAGGGGAACTCGGGTTGGCCGGGTTTATAACGCAGTGTGCTAACCCCTGTGTCACCACTCCACCCCATCATCTCCTCCCCATCATCTCCTCCCCGAGGTGAATAATAAAAGTCCCACTTTATGAAAAGTTAGTGGTCATTGAGGGAGACTGGCCCCAACCATGTAAATGCAGAGCTTTCACTACTCATTTGGAGCTTTGAACATGGATGAGTTGCCACCCGAATCCTAGTTTTAGCAACGAGACGTTGACGTTGGCTCACCCATGGGGCCGCCTGGCCTCCCTGAGCCACTCGAATGTGGCAAGTGCATTGTACTGGAGGAACCACGTGTTCTCCTTGACGCCTCGGTGCACATTATTGGGATGCGAAGACTGGCGTCAATGATGGCTTCTCGGGGCACGGCCACACCAACCAGGTGTCTAAGTTGGTGGTGGAGCCCAAGAGCAACACCCTCGTGTCCTGCAGCATGGACGACACCCTGCGCTTCACCGATCTCAACAAGAAATTGTACAGGTGGGGGAGGTGGCACATCACCAACTTGCGTATGCTTAGCAGTTAGCTGATATAAAATAAAAACCGTCTTGGCAGTGTTTTCACAAAAACTAAAACTGATCACCACCTACATGAACGTTGCTTTGTATTCAAAATCTTCTACTAAAAACACGCATAACTGTATGGAGGCAAATGTGCATGTCCGTGCGCAAGCGACTCATGAAGACGCGTTTGTGAGCACGTATGCAGCCCCGGGGAGGCCGTGAAGCTTGACTCCCAGCCCAAGTGCGTGGCCGTGGGGCCTGGGGGTATCACTGTGGCAACCTGCATCGAGCAGGTGAGGCCACAGCCTCATCCGGCACCTCCAGTGGCGCTGCTGAGAGGGGTCCCAGGGAGTACTGCACCACGCTCCCTCGGCACGCTCACTCTGCCTTGCTGAGTTCCATTGTCGCCGTTCGACTTTATTTTGAGTGTTTGGGACCAGAGCATTTATTGGCCCAGACAGAAGGCAGAGAGGAATCCATGCTTTTCTTTTGTCGGAACACTGAACCATCACCTGTGAGGCTCAAACCTAAATAAAACAGCGTGATGCCGTCCATCTATTAACCAATCACAGTGCATAAAATTACGCGAATTATTATTTTAATTAAAATTGTTAAAGTTAAGATTGCAGCATTATCGTGAAAAGGTGCAAAGTGAACATTTTTATCTACAACTTTGTAAAGATTTACGGAATTTGTTCTCTTCCTTGCAAAAGAACATGGCTTTCCATGAGCTCTGAACTGGATTAATAAAGGATGCTGCAATTGGGCTGTGCATTTTGAATGCAGGTTGTGCTGCTGAAGGACAAGAAGCGTGGCATTGGTTTGGAGAACCCGGGTTACGAGCCTGAGGTGGTCGCCATACACCGTGACGGGGTCACCGTCGCTGTTGGAGGCCAGGTGTTGCATCCACCCACACGCACACAAAGATCCCCAGTATAGACTGTTGGGGCAAGTGCTGTTCGCGAGCACTTATGAAGGCCGGCATGGCACACGAGGTGGTGGGTGGCCAGCACCAAGCCTGTCCGCCTTTGTCTCAGGTACTCAATTGAGGCTGAGTCAACTTAGGGGGAGGCTCAGGACAGGTTCAGATAATATAATCGTTATTGGTGTTGGCCGTGAGCGGGAATCCAACTTGTGTCGCTGGGTTCGTAGGACAGTGTGCTAACCACTGCTCAAACGCTCACCATACATGCAGTACAACACCAAAGACAATACAACACCACACATGCATACACATGCATGCAAATACAGAACACACAACCATGAACAACATGCTTGTGTGGTGAATAGCTAAGAATCGGACCTGAGTCAACAACATTGCATTGCATGCACATAAGCTTAAACATGCCCTCTGCATTGAACACAGAATGCCCATTTACTTGTCCCTCTCAGTGTATGGGTAAATGCACAAAAAATAAAAGTCCACAACATTGCCTTCGAAGACAAGTAAACATCTGCACTGTGCATAGCTGCCAAACATCAAACCTCGCGCATGACAGTGGCTGCACTGACTAATCATGTGACCGCATCACCACACCACAGGGTTGGCCAGTGGCTGCCTTTACTTCTCGCCCGGGTAATCGGCAGCTCTTGAATAAGCACCGGCGTGTATGTGAATGGGCAGGACTCCAAAGTGCACTTGTATAAGGTGCAGGGCAACACCTTGGCGGACGCTGGTGTGGAGCCCCTCTCGGTCCACGGTGCAGTCATGGATGTGGCCTTCTCGCCAGACGGGACGTTCCTGGCCGTGGGCGACGCAAACAAAGTGGTCTCCATCTTCAGCGTGGCCGACGGCTACAAGGCGAGTAGTTGCCTTCAGAATTTCGAGTGCCTCTGCAAGTGGGGTTTGTGAATCGCGCACAAATCCCCGTAGGCTTGAGGACACGCACCTACCTACAGAATGATGTGGCCCCATAGCATGCAGGACAGTGAGTACATTGCTTATTAGTCTGTCCAGATATTTTACTTAATGCCTGCATATGAGTGGGGTTTCTCTGGGTGGCCCAGTCCAATATCCATGCAAGTTAACGCATTATCTTGCATGTATAAGATAAAACATTGGACAACCTTTCATTACTGGACTCCCCTTTAGTGATTGATAATTTTCCAAAAAATATTGGACAAGTAAAGCACTGGTATCCCTTACCGTTTGGATTTTTTATTACAATCCTACATCCGAAATACTTATCGTATCGTACTCTTATGAAATAATTTTAGTGCAGTGCACTGAATCTACATCTTGTTTAATTAATCAAGTTCTTGTTTCACAAGGTGAACCCAATGTGTGTTGGTGCGATTTGAGGTTCCTCTTGCTTACCATTCTGATTCTAAAACCCCATTGTTAGGAGTCCAGATTACACCCTTGAAATTGCTGCTCCAAGTCCACACTCCTTACATGTGCGTGCATGTGTCATATTGCAGTTGGAGAATTCCTACTATGGCCACCATGCCAAGGTAGTGTGCTTGGCGTGGTCACCCGACAGCCACCACTTGGCTTCCAGTGGCATGGACATGATGGTGTACGTCTGGACGATCGGTCAAATGGACAATAAAGTCAGGATGGCAGGTACGGCCCCCATGACCCCTTTTGATGCAATGCCTATACCAATGCTGGGCCTGCCTTATACTGGCTGCAGTTCCCTGCATATTATTAGAAGTTTAACCACTGGTTGAAACCCACGAAGGAAATGTTGTTACCCTATTGCCAATTTTAAGCAGGGAAAATAATTAGATTTTAAACAAAGATTGCTTCTGCAGTTACATGCTGAAGGAAAATAATAAGGGCAGCGACTGGCATGTATGGTGACTGGGAAGTAACATTTTCCAACCATGATGCTACTATGGCTTTTCTTGTTATTAAAAAGATCTATTTTAATCCGTGCTCTTGAAAATATCTTCAGTGTAATACATATTAGAAGAATGGTTTTGATTAACTCTATTTTAGGATTCATACGTTCAAGATTGCTTAAAAACAAAATTTAGGAAAATACAATCATGAGAATTGCGTACTTTTAACTCAACACAATATAGTTGACAGACTAGCGCTGCTGTATCTGTAGCAATATTGTTCTTTATGCAAATATAGACAATGAAAAATTAAGTCTCAAGATTTTTTTCAGCAGGCACTTTCTGCGGATATTGAAAAAATATATATATTTTGGTGTGCAGCAGGTACTATTTACGAATCATAGAAACCATAGAATAGCAACCTTTCTGCTATCCTGCCATCTACTGGCCACGTCACACCTCTACAAGTGTATGTGTCGCATGGTGACCTCTCTACAAGCCACCAAATCCTCCATAATGCAGACTATAGGCGGCGTACGCCACCTTGTGCAGCTTCTCGGGAGGGGCGTTTGCCGAGAACCGCATTGTTGCAAGTGATGAAAGATTATATATTTAATGAAACGAACTAACACTCGCAAGTGCCATGCCACTGACCTCTCTCGTGGCTGCGCTCCACCCATTTTGGCAGACTGCCACCGCATGAACCACGTAAGCGGGCTGTCGTGGCTGGACGAGCACACCCTCGTCACCACTTCGCACGACGCCTGCATCAAGCAGTGGACCATCACCTTCAAATAATGCGCCTGCCTTCCCCTTCGCACGCGAGTGGAGACCCTGCACCCCCCGTCAAGTCTGGAGCCGCTCAGCCAGCCATTGGTTTATTTGTCATCCATGGATCACGACATCAACACTTCATAACAATAGGCAGTTTGGTAAACAAAAAAAGTGGAATATTTTATTCTGCCTGTCATCCTGGATAGATTGAGTACCAATTTATGCAATGTGCTCTGGTTGCAACGGTCCTTGCCTAATGAAAATGTAGAATTTCCGCTGGCTCAGGAGCACACCACCCTATTGATAATTTGAGCTGGGAGACACTTGACTTTTTACATCACCAATTACTTTCTTGAAATGATTAACTTTGTTCAGTGTGATTGTTGGTTAAGTGCAGGTGACTCCTGACTTTGTCTTGACTGCATGGGAGAGGTGTCTGGGGAGCGAGTTGTCTCGTCAACCTGAATCATGTTTCATAAATATGCATCGATGATATTTTTGTTTGCGTTTTTTCCTTGCTTTCTTACAATTTCTACAAAGCATTGATATACATTTGGAGAAAAAAATGTCAGTCATTGTGCTGCTTAGAATGGTGAACATTCCAAAGGGATATATTTTGTTTGGTACTCGGTGATTGGTGTAAACACTTAACTTAATTGATTGTTCTAATGGTTAGTGGTGAGAATGCACGTGGTGTGCAGCTACTGTATTTTTAATAAGGAAGCTGGGTTGGTGTGTTTTTGCCTGCTGTCTTGCTGGAGTAATGGAGTTATAGCACTACATCTTTAGAATGGTTATTAAATGACCAGATCTTGAAAGTGGCACTTGTGATATTGTTAACAGAATGTGTACCCCGAGTGATTTGCAACAATAAAATGCCATTTGTTCATTGTGGCCCACATTCTCAATTGTCGGTTGCATTCAGGACCTGAACCACTTTAACTCGCTGCTTTTATAAACTCACACGTGAGCCATGCATTGCTTGTTAAATGTCGTGGTTTACAAAGGCATTAAGTGGGAAAATTTCCATGGCAGGTTTTAGTTGGAGGTGGAAAATGTAAGATTGATTTGAACCAGCCAGTTTAATGCATTAAAATATAAATCTGCAATTAGCAGTTGCATATTTGTGGGAGAACTGTGAATAAGTGTTCAAAACGTCTTCAATGGACATGCGTGAGAAGTTGGATAATTTCAGTCCCAAAAGCAATATTGAGCAATACCAGTCCGCAGTCGTGCATGTCTGGCTGGGGGATACCATTACATTTTTGCGAACTGACAACTCGACATCAAGGATTGGTGCATCAACGACGCCGCCTAAGCTCATTTTAGACACCGGTATGTGTGTTCAGTCCGTCTCGCATGAGAATTAAGATGTTAAAGTTAATAAAGAACGTTATATTCACTACTGGGGGGCAGCCGATTGTTGCACACTCGAAATGAAAGACGTCGGCAGGTGCTCGAAATCGAGGGCAAACATTTATTGTGGTTAATCTGAAATGCAACAGCACGTGTCACAGCAATTCTTGAACCGAGTCGCCATTAACCCTGTGACTGGTGTACACGTCCAGTTAATCAATAAGTTTCTCTTAAACCCAATTCTACTACTGATGAACCGTCTTTGACAATAACCATTGCACTTCACTATTCGAATATTACTTCAATCCTAAGCTGTATGTCTATCTATACCATCCACTTATATCGGTAACTTACACCCATTATATGTACTGTATGTGTACAGTATAGTACTGTATTTGTGATCATTGTACAACTTACGACTCTACATGTGTTCTATTCTCAATAGCATTGCAAAGTCATACTCTGGGGGAATGGTTATAGAATAAACAGTATTAGGGTTAGAGAATTAAGAATTACAAGTATTAACTAGAGTACGTCATCCTTTACAATGCTAAAACCCCTCCAATTGAATATAGCACAACATTAAAAGCCAAGCTTGAAGTCTATAACAAGTCTAGAACATTTCTATAACGATCAAAAACCTTTGGGTCCTTTACCTGTCGTGTGTCATACACAGCAATCCGCAATCGCCACAGGCCCAACTTAGTCATCACATGCTGGTGTACAGACGTGCATTGATGTACCGCACAGCACATCATTTTTCTCTTTCGATTTAAAGCTTTCGTGACTGCAAGGATTCATCTTCTTTGGTTCTTTCGGTAAAGTCACGTAGAATGAGAATAAAATAATAAATTAATAAAATAACACAATAAAATTATCACGACGTTTCGGCCACAACACAAGTGGCCTTCATCAGGTGAAGGGACGAGACTGTCTCGCTCCAGCGCTGTCCTCGAGACGGTCTCGTCCCTTCACCTGATGAAGGCCACTTGTGTTGTGACCGAAACGTCGTGAGAATTTTATTATTTTATTCTCATTCTACGTGACTTTACCGAAAAAACCAAAGAAGATCATTTTTCTCGCCTGAAGACGGCCGCTTGTGTTGCGACCGAAACGTTGTTTTCTTTAATTATTTTTTCTATCTACGTGACTTTACCAAAATAACCAGAGAGTAAGCACATAAGAACTTAAAGAGTGGTCCATTACTGTGCCACTCGATCTATTGGTGACGTGACGCCTGACCATCGGATGTTCAGCAAACATCACTCAAATTACCGACCTGACACACGACGCCATGTGTCTGTGATAGCTATTTAACTATTTACACCAGTGACACATATTCATCATTCTTTCATAGAGATTTGAATTTGCCGCTTAGAATCCATCTCAATTCTCCCGCTTTCTAAACTACAGTTTCGATATTGATCGTCTTAATGCTGCTTACAGGCTGGCTGCGTTAATCCTCGTCTTGTTTTACGTGTAGAGACGTGTAGGAACGAGACGTTGCGTCTGCTCCTTTAGTTTTCTTATTTTATAATCTCCTCCACGACGCCAGTCAGTGGAGAGCAGAGCCGCAGCCTGTGAACTAAACAACATGTAGGCTTTCGCGACCGATATCCAAAATAAAAGTTGCGAGTTTACTCTCCAACACACCGGTGTACTAAATGGAACGTTTTATTCACGTGACAAACCTTACTAATCGGCTGCGCCGGGTTTAACGACACTTATTAACGCGATCTAACCCAACAATACGCAATATAACTTAACCGTGAAATAAACATGGTCCGCACCGGAAGTGACGTCACATCGCGGTGGTTACTGTACGCCCAGCATTTTGCCTAGCTCGCCGGAAGTGCCCCCCACCTCGCGTGGTGACGTCACGATGTCAACCGGAAACGGAAGCCTCTGTGGGGGTGGGAGTGCGGCGACAACTTCCGTTCGTGATGGCGGCCCCCGTGGTGTGCAGAAGCGCGGCGGGTGAGTGCCGAGGGGTCAAGGCCGCTCCCGGCCTTAGCCAACTCCTCTGCACCGCTCGCGAGTACCACGGGCTTCGACGGCACTCCGCGTTGGGGCGGGGCGGGGGGGGGTGACTGTGGGGAAACATTGCGCTGTTCGTGCACCCGATATTTGGGGTGGCACTGGACCCCCCCCCCCCCGGCATTGACACTGTCGCGTGTATCAGTCCGAGTCGCTCTGGACTCGGGACTGTTCGTGCTCTCGTGAACACTCGAGGCGGTGCTCATCTCCTGTGTACAGCCCCGAGGCAGGGGTTAGACATACCCACATTGCGTTGGTGGAGGCAAGTCTTATCCGTAGGACAACCGCTTGCTGTGCTTAAATACAAAGTGGCAGTTCTGTATCGATCGCCTCCCCACCACCAACCGACTGCGAGCCACTTGCTCTGCTGCTGAGCTACCTTTATAAATAAAAACACGGGGAAATTCTGTGAAGTTCTGCATGTGCAGCTCTTTTGTTAGTCCACTGCTGCACGAGGGCCTCCCGATGCCGTGCAGATCGCGGGGCTTCACAAACTTCACGCTGGGCAGTGCGGGTTAGGGAAGCCGGGGAAGCATAGTCCAGTGTAACAATTTAGCTGCATTGCCTTTTGCTGATAATGTAGCCTCGCACAGCAGCCTATACAACGCATGTTTGTGCCTTATGTTGCACAGCTTGCAACGGCTTACGCTAAATACGTGCAAAGTGTTTCATCCAAAGTACGCCAATGGCACCCCGCACTGAATACAATACCTGGCTTTGGGGACGGTCTTGCAGGTCGGTGTTTCCTCCCTCACGCGTTGCCTCTTGGCTTTCGATTTCGTCTGCCTGGTGTCGTGACCCGAGCCTGCCTTCACTCCTCTTCTACCCCCTCCACCCCGCGTCTCCAGGGCTGCTCAGGGCCGGCCTCCCCGCCGCGCGCAGAGCCCTGTGTCGTCGCGTCCTGAGTGTGCCGAATGTGCGGGGCCCCTTGCTCGCTCTCCCCGCCGCCCAACCCAGCCCTGTCGGTGTCCACCTGAGGGGGTTGTCAACTCTCCTGAGCGGTCTCCGCATAGGCACTGCCGTCTCTCCAAGCACGCAGGCGTGAGTATGCACAGAAAATATATACAGTAGCTATATTTCTTAACCCATAACCATACAAATAGCTGCTACCGAAACCATGTGGGTTTTCCTTGAATAATAACTATATATCCTAACTTATAATAGCAGCCTGAGGACAATATTTTTAACCTCTAACATTAATAGTTGATTCACTTGTTATGAGTAACGACCAATCATCAGTTCCGTTAATTTGCCAGAGTTCTATCAGGTTAATTATTACTGCAATGACGTTGTTTGGGTCTCTGCTCTCTCTCTCTCTCTCAATGCAGGAGCATTGGAGCTCTCCGCGTGCTCGGGCAGAATAAGGTAACGGGAACGCTTGGACAACCTCCTCGCCGGAGCCTCATCTACTTCAGCAAGGGAAGGGGGAAGCGCAAGACGGTGAAGGCTGTGGTGAAGCGCTTCCTGCGGCTGGACTGCGGCCTATGGCTGCGTCGTCAGGTGGGTGTCGAGGAGGGGAGCGGTGGTGTAGCGGTTAGCACTATGCTTCACGGCCTCAAATGAGTACCTTGTGCGCTGTGGAAACATCGCCAGCACTGGGGAGAGAAAGGCGGACAGGCGTAGTGCTGGCCGCCCGTGGTACCGGTTTTACAGGGGATCTTTGTATTTGGTATTGAGTGGGTGTGTCCAGAGCAGTAATGTAGCGGTTAGCAGGCTGCGCTACGAACCCGGCGACCCGAGTTCCATTTACGCTCACGACCAACACCAGTGACGAATATGTGAAGCGGCCCTGGGCCTCCCCTAGGTCGACTCAGCCTGAAATAAGTACCTGGTACGGTTTTTAAACATTGCCACTGGGATACAAAGGCGGCCGGGCGTGGTGTTGGCCACCCACCCCCTCGTGTACCTTTCCGGCTTTCATAGGTGCTCGCTAACAGCACTTTCCCCAACAGTCTGTTAAGGCTATGTGGGGGATCTTTATCTATTGAGGGCCACATGAAACATTTGCTCAATATTCTTAGCTCTTTCGGTAAAGTCACGTTGAAGGGAAACAATAACCCATAACCAACGTGACTTTACCGAAAGAGCTACGAATATGAATTACTGCAGTCACGAAAGCTTTAAATCAAAATTTGCTCAATAGTCTGAGATGACACCACCTTCGTCAATATCCACACCTATGTGCTCCTTTAACGCATCATGAGCACAGCTGTATGGGTACCACAAGGCACGGTTTGACAGAGAATACTTTGTGCTCTGTATACGTGTGGGCAGTTTACAAAGTAAGGTTAATTCTGATTATTATTGGGCCTCTCTTGAAGACAATGTAAGATCCCTTTTTCGCACCTTGGTGAGAACATTTATGACTCGAATCATTTTTACACACCATTTGATGTGTTTAATGTAATTGCAAGAATTAATTTTAATTGGTTAATTTTTACATGCCTAATAGCCAATGAACACAACAATACAACTCTGTTTGGATTTGTCCTCACAGAATTAATATGGAATTTACGTGACTGGTTCATGGCTGTAAACAGATGAGTGCTTCCTCACACTCGTCATGGATGGCATCCCCTTTAGCTTAGACACATATATTGTTAGATTATGTAGTGTCTATGACATCTGGCCTGCCATATATTTATTGCCTTGATATCTCGTATTCTTCTATGTAGACTGTACATCATCTCCGTTTGTTTTATTTGCATTAAATATATATAAACCAATTGTGTTATGCTAATTCTTCGTTTCTTTTTACGGAAAATGTAAAACACATTGGGTTGACTGGTTGTGTATATATAGGTTTTTATACATATTTAAGAATGAGAATGTATGCGTGAACATGTGTAATGAACCACGATTCGTATGAGTGCATGTGCCTCTGGCCCTGCATATATGTACTTCTTTGTGGGACTGTACAGGCATGTTTTGTGTGTATGTGGATCTGTAGATTTATACATGTGTGTCTGGATCTGCTTCATATGTGTGTGTGTTCACCGCTTGTCTCCTCGCACTCGTGTGTGTGTGTTTCGTACACTCACTTGCACGAGCACAGGCCGGGTGCAAGAAGCGCCTGTGGAAGAAGCGCAAGCCGCGCATTCGACGACTGCGTCAGCATGTGCTGTGCAACAAGTGGCAGTCAAAGTTGCTCGACAAGATGGTGACCGACTTCTGGAAGCGCCGCAAGTGGTACGAGAACGACCCGTACCAGCTCTACCATGAACGCACCAACTTCAGGGCTTGAATGAAGCTGACAGTCTGGGTTCAGTTGATTTGCACCTCGCTGATGGTACAGTATAGCGTGCCATGCCCTCAAAGAAAATTGGACCGATTCAGCAATGAAAGGTGCCACAGTGTAAAATTACTGAGAACTCACTATGGATGCTTTTTCCACCCGTGATGCCCCAAACACAGGTTTCATCTGTAAATTGCATGTGTACATGCTTAAATATCATGGCTTACTGGCTAAGTTACAAGAGTGCTGCGTGTTGCCACAGGATGTTAACTTTACATTTTGCAGACCTCCAGTACTGATGTTGCAGGATGGAATATTTACGCAGCAACAGAGTTGATTAAAACTCCCAGTGCTCATTTGATGCCATCTTGTGACATTTGATACACATGTACACAGTATAAACATGTGCACTGTATATATAACATTAATGTATTCTGCTATATAGGTACATAAATACCCCAAGTACATATATACAGTATACGTAGTGTACATACACGTGTGTGCAGTGTATACCAAAAGCGGTTGCACATTGCTAAGTCCACCGTTATGTTGCATTGACATAGTTGGATATAAGTTTTGGACAAAGACAACACCCACCATGCAATATTAGCTGTGATGCCAGAAACACAAGAAGTCTTACAGACACACATAACAAAGCAGCTCATCTTAGGAATACCCCCATATGCTCTATTCCATAAAGTCAGACCTTATAACACTTGCCATATTAAACACCAGCCCATTACAATCATCTTTGCTGTGGTGCTTATTAAGCACTATTGGAAATTGTAAAGGTAATGCCTGATAATGATGAGTGCATATCAAAAAACCCAAATAACGCTTGTTAATGTGGATCAACTTTGAACAGGTTACTCTCAAAAGCAGTTGCATTTCTGTAAACATTCATGAATGGTCATAAATATCTTGACAAAAAATCCTTCCAACTGAGTATGTGTTGTGCGTTGTGTTACAAATGTGCCTTTTAGCATATGCTTGAACAGTATATGGTGCATTGTGTGTGTACAATATATTATATTTTGAGACTTGAAATGCCTCTTGCACATTTACTTTCTTAGCAATGAAATGCTATTTCACCCAGCTGCTTTCCAGCTTCAGAGTCTGCAAAGGTAGTGAGGCTTGATTGGCAATGAGACTGAAATTACGTAACATTGGAGTGAGCCAGACATGGCTTGTATGAGTTGATCAGGGAAAGTGTGCCATACTGATGGTTGATAATAATGTCAACTTGTATCACTGCACAGTATTCGCTCTCACCAAGAGAACAGCTCAAGAGGCATGAGGAATCTCAGGAAGCCAACCAGGTGGTGAGATGATGCCAAATTCAGCCCCAAGTTCTGCGATTCTCTGTGAAGGTGGTATCGGCCAATAACGAGTTTACATATGGGAGGAAATTAGCACCAGGAGAAAACTGATGCATGCAATGGGTAACACTATCCCATATTTTCTGTACCGCCTTGTGGTGACCCAGGGTATGGCACCCATACCCAGAGGAAGGGAGTTTCATAACATTTGTGTCATACATCAAGCCTTGCCTTCAGTCCTGAATGACAGGCGTGGGCCACTGCCGCCCGTTTATGAACAGGACAAGGAATGTATTAACTAACTTTAAGATTGCCAGTTCATTTGTGAACTATGTAAGGTATTAGGCAGAGTATGAGTTGGACAGTAAGGTATGGATTAAATAGGACACTTGTGATCTGGGAGAGCATTCATGAGCCAAGGAGGGAATTATCAAGAGAGGCTATTGATGAACCATGCAAAACATTAACAATTTGGGCAGGGAACATGAGATCTGGAGGCAGCCAGAGGGGTGGTGGGCGGGGTGGCGGTGGCGGTAGGCGGGGTGGCGGTGGAGGTGGGCGGGGTGGCTGTAAGCGGGGTGGCGGTGGGCGGGGTGGCGGTGGGCGGGGTGGCGGTGGCTGTAAGCGGGGTGGCGGTGGGCGGGGTGGCGGTGGGCGGGGTGGCGGTGGGCGGGGCGGGGTGGCGGTGGGCGGGGTGGCGGTGGGCGAGGTGGCGGTGGCGGTGGGCGGGGCGGGGTGGCGGTGGGCGGGGTGGCGGTGGCGGTGGGCGGGGTGGCGGTGGCGGTGGGCGGGGTGGCGGTGGCGGTGGGCGGGGTGGCGGTGGCGGTGGGCGGGGTGGCGGTGGCGGTGGGCGGAGTGGCGGTGGGCGGGGTGGCGGTGGGCGGGGTGGCGGTGGCGGTGGGCGGGGTGGCGGTGGCGGTGGGCGGGGTGGCGGTGGCGGTGGGCGGAGTGGCGGTGGCGGTGGGCGGAGTGGCGGTGGCGGTGGGCGGGGTGGCGGTGGGCGGTGGGCGGGGTGGCGGTGGCGGTGGGCGGGGTGGCGGTGGCGGTGGGCGGGGTGGCGGTGGGCGGGGTGGCGGTGGCGGTGGGCGGGGTGGCGGTGGGCGGGGTGGGGGTGGCGGTGGGCGGGGTGGCGGTGGCGGTGGGCGGGGTGGCGGTGGCGGTGGGCGGGGTGGCGGTGGCGGTGGGCGGGGTGGCGGTGGCGGTGGGCGGGGTGGCGGTGGCGGTGGGCGGGGTGGCGGTGGCGGTGGGCGGGGTGGCGGTGGCGGTGGGCGGGGTGGCGGTGGCGGTGGGCGGGGTGGCGGTGGTCGCTGTCACCTCGGATCTCAAGGGAGGAGACGGACACGCAGACACCACGCGCAGCAGACCTCGGGGGCCACTGACGCTGGGACGACAGACGCAGCGACAGAGGCAGAGACAGGGAGACAGGCTCAGAGGCAGAGACAGACGGAGGGACAGAGACGGACAATGGCGAGGCGGGTGCTCGTGTACGGCGGGCGAGGCGCCCTGGGCGCGGAGTGCGTGAAGATCTTCAAGGCGAGGCAATGGGTGAGGCGATGAACAGCACGCGCGCCGACTGCTCTGTTCCTGGGGTCTGCTGTGCGCGCACAGGAACTTGCCCCCAGCAGTGTTGAGGCTTTCCGGGGGATCTTTGTCTCTGTGCGACCTGTGGGGGGGGGGAGCCGGAGTGGAACGTCGGTGACGGGATTACCTGAGACGGTCGGGCCTGGGGCCTCCCCTAGGTCGACTCGGCCTCAAACGAGTACCTGGTGCGCTGTGTAAACTTCGCCAGCACTGGGGAGACAAAGGCGGCCGGGCGTGGTGCTAGCCACCCACCCACCCGGGTTGGATTCCCGCCCCCCCTCTCTCTGTCATTAATATATTTTTTATATATATTAATATATATATTTTTATTTTAACCCCTCTGATCGTGCCGACGTCTACGGGGTCGGCTCGGCCAACATTCGTAATTAAATTCGTATTGTATCAGGCGCGGGGATGTTTTATTTCATGCTGTGCCTGCTTGTTCCATTCCCTACTTAATAGGGGCTCGCAAACTACACTTACCGGGTGGAATTTGATTTACATAAACGGTATATATTGATTGAAAATATTACGTTTTAGAGCATTAAATGGTGGGGTCACAAGACATCTGGACCACTCTGTACAAATGGTAGAATGTGTTGCTGCATTGCTTGTGGTTTTGGATTGCGTGTCTCCTATTTTACAGGTGTTGTGTCTCCTCCACATGGGTCCAGGATTGTTTAGTGTGTGTGTGTTTTTCCCGGTGTTATTCCGCTCGTGGTGTTACCAGTGTCGAGAGATGAGGCGTCCATCCGGAATTCGTGCACAGGCAGTGCCCGCATCACTTCTGTGGTAGAGGATTGGCTGTGTGCGGAAGGAGATAATATCACAGAACTGTATCTGAACACCTTTAAAATTACTTCCTTAAGCCACATATGGAACAAGGAAAATTGCTTTCCCTTGTACATGCCCTGCTGCAGACAAATATTCGTACTCTGGTAGTTAAACCGAAATATTAATATTTTAAATTCACTTCTGAAATTTGGCCAAAATTAGTGCAAAATCCTATTTCATGTGTGATATTTTTGTGCCATTACTGGTGACCAGGGTAAGACCATCAACTTGCCACACTAAAAATCCAGTTTGGTCACAGGTAGCTGGAGCCTGTATTTTTTTTACCGAATATCTTGGCATCACGAGCTCATTGCTGTGGCCCCCTGATCCGTCTGCGCCCGAAACGTCGTGATTTATTTGTATTTTATCTTTCACCTACGTGACTTTACCGAAAGAACCAAAGAGTATGGATTCCTGCAGTCACGAAAGCTTCAAATCAAGATTGGCCACCTCAAGTTTACTTCTCTGCTGTTTGGCGAGTCACCATTCTCATTGTCTGTCCCTCCTTTGCAGTGGGTGGCATCTGTTGACCTGGTGGCCAATGATGCTGCGGACGCCAACGTTTTGGTCAAGCCCAGCGACTCCTTAGCTGAACAAGCTGAGCAGGTACACTTCATGTGCACAGTAAAGTCAACCTAAGGGGGATGCTCAGGGTGTTGTAAGATAGCAATCACCACTGATGTCATTGGCCTGCGATTCAGGTCACCAGGATTGAAGCGCAGTGCACGAACCTCTACACCACGACACTCCATTCCCAGGCAGTCTTGTACTCTCACTCCCGTGCACGGTTTTAAACCCCATGGTAGCAATTTATGAGAAACGGTCATTCACACAAAACCTCACAAGACTGCCCATGTGAGTCTCGTTATCGGCAGAATGAACGACGCATTATTTGGCACTGTGTCTCGTGGTTGTGAAGTACCATTCTGGGAATTACTGGCAATTCAATGAAACCCCATAAGCCTTACTACAACAAAGTCCCTTCTCACAATGTGGTAGAACCTGCAACGACCAGGGGCAAAGGTCTTTCCTCCAATCCCTGCCAGCTATCTATCCTCACTACACACCCCCTCTGCTGCCTTCCCTCCCATCATCCTCTCGCGCATCCACCCACTGCAGGGGCCAATAGAAACGCACAGCGGCAATTTGGGACTGGAGTTTGCCAATAAACACATTGATTTTGTAAAGCAACACACCAAAGTGTGCATTGTTCATTGCACACGGTGGGGATCAGATTTAGATGGAGCAATCTGTGCAGGCTGAGACAAAGCACTGTGATGCAAGTGCAGCACTGGGCTGACAAGCATTATGTGTCGCATTGCTTATTTAAAATTACGATGAATACGATAGCTTAAGAGCACTATAATTGCACTCCGTCGCACTCTAAACGTATATTCGTGCGTTCAACAACACGCGCCGCAGTGAATGATGTCACGTGGCTTGATGGGAAATAGCCACAATGCGATATACACTTCACCGAAGCATATACGTGCCTATCAACTGCAACCTGATATGTGTGTGTCTGAGATTTTGTAAATCTGCCTATTTCTATTGGCTGCAATCTCCCCATTGACACCCCTATGATCCCCCTAGCTTTCACAACCTCCGCTCTTAGGCACTGGGAAGTCCATGAATATTAATAATGCCACTGTTCTCACAAGAGCCTCGGTGCTGGAGGGCACCTGCAACTGCTGTTGTCGGCGCTTCCCATTGAGTCGCACAGACTGCTGACGCCAGTGCGATATGAATCCCACACGGGGTCGTAGCCCGCGACAGACTGACGGAGCTGCGTGTCATGTGTCTCCCCTGCGTGGCGGACCATGTGCTGGTACTTGAAAACTGTAGCCATGTGTTGTGCAGGCTTCGTATTCAACGACAATGTTTAGACATTTATGTGGAAACATGCATAGGGTTGTATCAGGGCATTTTTTTTTCATTCTGCAGGGGTAAAAAATACTAAAAAGAAATTCACCAAACATCCCAAGCTGGGCCTCCATTAAAAGAGTCAGGAGGGCGTGTGGCACAGTTTGGCGCCGGCTATCATAGGGTGCGGTCATATCCCTACAGTTCTCTGCGTTGCGTACAATATCTTTAAAACAGCGGCGCTATGCCTCTAAATACAATTAACACTAACCGCTTGCGCGTTCCGAGATTCAGCGGTGAACGGGACCCACCCTGCAACTTGCAGACGTCTAGGAATGGGAAAAGGGTTAATATCTACTCACAGACCTTGCCCCCATGATAAGCGGGGGGTGGCTGTGTGTCTGTGCTGTTTTGTTCAACCGGATAGAGGGGGCTAAACGAGCGCAGCACGGGACTAGAGAAGAGATGGAGTGATGTGGTCTAAGAGGATATGGAGCTGAGTGGACTTGCCAATAACTGGTACAAGCGGTGTCAAGATCTGCTTCTGTGGAGGAGGCTCATGAAGGACGCTGCTACTGGGCAGTTGGAGGCAGACGCCCTCCACCAACAACGCAGGGCAGAGGAGCGACGCTAGCTGGGCGGCTAAAACACAGCAAGTTGGTATAGTAGAGGACACAGATGGTGCATCGGCCAGTCATCTCAGTCAGCCAACCCATGGCACCTGGGTCTGTCCTGTGACCTCCTGCCAGTGGGCGGTTGACACTTCACGTGGCCTTAAAGTGCATATAGCCTAGCACAAGCACTGTGGTGACATCACTACCACTTCGTGGCAAATGACGGTTGTGTGCTGTCTGTGTGTGTGCCATCTGTGTGAGCACTGCAGGTGGCAGGTGAGGTGGCCGCTCTGCTGGGAGATGCCAAACTCGACGCTCTGCTGTGTGTGGCTGGGGGCTGGGCTGGGGGAAGTGCCAAGTCCAAGGGTAGATGCGACAACACCACCACACTGATCTCTAAACTCTAACCTTATAGCCCAGATCATAATTGCCCTGTGCTCCTTTGATTACATTTGATAACATCGTAGTGTTTTTCCCTGTTCATCATCGGTACTGGGGTGGCACTCACATCATTGGTAGTCACATGTAGTTGACATTCCCCATTCCCGTGGCAGAGGATAGTTTATCCATATTATTACCACTGTTAACCTCTCACACAATGGTACTAAACTTATCAACTTTCAAAGGATGAATGTGTGATATGAAATCTCTTATGGAGATGAGTGATTTGTAACATAACCGTGCAGACAATTTTACCCAAGAAAGTTTCCCTGCATCTTACGGCTCTCAATAGGAAACTAAGCTAGCAGCATTCAAATCGTGAGTTAAGCATTGTTTGTGCAAATTGGTTAAATGAGGCTGCTTAGCCACTAACCCTTTTATCGATATGATGACCCCTGTTAACTTCCTTGCCCGCACCTCTGATCAGCACGGTTGGCTACGTACGGTGCGAAATAAATTCAATGTACATACATACAATGGTACTAAATTCATCGACCCTGGTGCTGTAACACTTCCCCATCACGTTTCCCCGTGTCTGTGTCACTGTCCAGCGATGGCTAAGAACACGGAGCTGATGCTGAAGCAGAGTGTGTGGACGTCGACCATTGCCGCCCAGCTCGCGGCCAAGCACCTGGGAGATTCCGGGCTCCTTCAGCTCACGGGAGCCAGCGCCTCCCTGGGACCTACGTCTGGCACGAGCGCACAAAAAAAACAAAGACACGTGCACACACACACAAAGACTCCCCATATAGCCTTAACAGACTGTTGGGGCAAGTGCTGTTAGCAACCACCTATGAAGGTAGCAACAGTACACAAGGGGGTGGGTGGCCAGCACCACGTACGGCCGCCTTTGTCCCGCTATTAGTGATGTTTACACACTGCACCAAGTAATCACTTAAGGCTGTGTCATCCCAAGAGCGTTCCAGGATAAGTTCAGACACCACTTGCTATTGGTTATCAAGTTCTTCACGGCCGCTTTATAGCAGCTGCTTTAAAATCACCTCAACCCAAGTTCTATTCCTGGCAAAACACCACACGAGTGAAATTAGGAATTCTGGACTTGGCCTGGATCTCCTTTTGTTCCACTTAGCTCTCATTGAGTACCTGGTGCTGTAATCAATTTCAGGAACAGGCATGGTGCACGGACGTGATATTAGTCACATCACCCTGACCTGCGTCTTGCCTCCCCTAATAGGCACTCGCTTTCAGCACTTGTCCAAGCAAGCAATGACACGTCATTTGTATGCATGTGTAGGGGTGCTATGGGGAATAAACACATGACACGGGAAGGTGTGGTTCACCCACACCTTGGTGGCTACAACAACGTCCGCTAAGGCTCCAGTGGGTATAAAGTGCGGGGAGCCAGGGAGCTCGGGGCAGAGTGTGGGGCCCGAGGCTGAAGCAACCAGTGAAGAAAGAAGGCCAGCTAGGTGAGACCCTGGAACTCCTGTGACCGCTGCCCTTTTCAGGGCCGGCACAGCAAGCCAGTGGTGCGGCCCCAGAGCCCCAGAGTCAGAGTCCTTCTAAGGGCCGGTCTGGTCGGCGGGGTGCCGAGATCTGTGCCTAACCAGGGCCGGATCTGATAGCCTCCCTTAGAGCCCTACCAGGAGGAACTGGGAGCCTAGAGCTTAGGCCAGAGAGCCTGGGGTGTGTTCCTGAGTTATACGGGTGGAGGGGCCGCTACCCCTTCTAGTGTAACCCTTGTTAAGGTTTAAATAAATAGTGCTGCTTCTATTCTGCCGTCTCCGTGTCCTGGAACCCACTACACATGTGTAACGTAGAGTGGTGTTAGTGTGTACATGTGTGCGCGTGTTTGTGAAGTGGTGTGCATGTCCGTGTAATATATGTGAAGTTCAGCGTGTGAAGGATTAATTTGTATCTTTTTGTTTATGTGTGCATGTGTACACTTGGTGCATTGCGTGTATGATATATTGTGCGTGTGTGCTGTACGTACAGGTATGATGGGCTACGGGCTGGCAAAGGCGGCCGTACATCAGTTGACCACCAGCCTGGCGGCCGACGGAAGCGGCCTTCCTGCCGGGGCCTCCGTGCTGGCCATACTCCCGTACGCATAAACACGCACGCACGCACGCATACACATGAATCCACGCATGACATACAAATACGTGCGGCCACACTCTCAAGCATGCACACACAGACATAGACATTCGAGTAAACAAAAGTGCTCGTATGCCGCAGGCACTTATGCATGCGGACAAACACGCACACACATACAGATGTGGCACCCAGAAACTCGCACGGACTCAAGCACACACAAACCCCTGCATGCGGACACACGAAATACATACACATGCACACATACATACAACAACAACAACCGCCATTCGCCACTAAGTGGCGGTGACGTCACCACGACGCTTGTGCCATACAGACACACGTGCACAGACATAGCCTAAATGCACGTTTCTACGTGCACCCATGAACACAGACACCACTCACAGCATGTGCACAAGACACGTGCTTGCAGATACGGCGACACTGAGAAACGGACCCAGGGGAGCGCGCGTGTCCAGTAGCGGCGACGACTTTCTAAGAGTGCCGTGTGTGTGTGTGTACAACCCCTCCCGTCCCGATCGCAGGGTTACCCTGGACACGCCGATGAACAGGAAGTCTATGCCCAACGCCGACACGGGCACGTGGACCCCGCTGGGCTTCGTGGCCGAGTGAGTGGCATGGCTCGGGTGCCAAGGGAAACCCCTGGGCTGGGGAGTGCAGCGGGGTGCTCGCTGGAGCTGTGTGACTGACCGTGGTGTTTGCGGGGGTCGCCTGTGGCGTCTGGAGTACAAAACCCATTGAGCCCAACTGTTGGGGGCAATCCTTGGGTTGAGGGCCAATCGAGCACAATTGGACACGAGTCCCATTAGAGTGAATACCTTACCTTTTAGTAACACTTTACACATTGTGGTATGAAAAATATTTGTTTAATAAGCCACTATTGACTGAATGCAACATATACTTATTTCATTCTGTAATATATAAAATACATTGTTACATTTTCTAAATAATGTTCCATACATACACATGTGTCATTTGCAACCGGGTGTGGATGGCAGATGCCTTTTCCACTATTTTGTTGGCAAAGGCAGGTGGATCATGGGGGATTTGCGAGCCTCTTAAACAAGTGGTTCTGGAAGGTGGTCGGGAGATGGAAAATATAGAAAGTTGGTTGGTGTGAAAGTTTGTTCTGACCGTGGAGTGTCGTCTCCTCATATAGTTGGTGGATCTTATCTCGTTGCTGGTTTCCTCCCTCGCACTAAACTCTGGCTAAAAACGGACATTGAAAATAACCCGTTGCACGACCCACGAAAACTAGACTTTTATACATTTCTGGGTAAACAAACATAAACGTGACAAATATATTTTTAAATACCAAACAACACGTAAATGTCCCCTTAGGGATGTGTTTTTTCATGTATGTATGTGTTTTGAATTTATTTTGTACCGTATGTAGCCAACCGTGCTAATCGGAGGTATGGGAAAGCATGTAGCGTTTGCTAGAATCATTCGTCCCTGCAGTCTGTAAGGCCAAATGGGGGGTGGGATCTGTCTGTTTGTGTGCAGGACACTGCTGAAGTGGGCTGGTGGGGAGGGGCGGCCTGCGTCGGGGAGCCTGGTGCAGCTGCTGACCGAGTCTGGAAAGACGCAGCTGCTAACAGTACAGCGCTGAATGCACACACACACAGACACCAAGACACACTTACACCGGGACACACAAACCGACACATCCACTCGCACACACAACTGCGTCCAACCCAGCCTCACAAGAACCAAAGTTAACGTGAACCTAATGACCCCACCAATGACCTAACACTGAACGTCACGGCCCAGTGCACATGCGAAACACGTGACTGTACAAACCACTGGATGACCCATGACTGGCGTCAAAGTGTACAGTTGATGTGACCTTGAAGATCATGTGATTAAGCGATTGAAATGTGATGCTTTTTGTGAGATGTATTTTGAACAATAAATGTCGCAAAAAAGTTAAATAATTTTAATCTACTTATTTTTGCATCTGCACACACAAGGTATAACTTGTTCATCTTTATTATAAAATGTTACAAACTAAATGTGCCTGTACATAATTGCTAATTTGCTTTAAAACATGCATAAAAGCTGATCAGACTGCCCAACAAAGCACATTGTCACTTTGTGGTGATAACCTGGCCATACAGGCAAGTACGCTGCTGCATTCTGATGTAGACGAAAGGTTTTCAGGAAACACTTAATTCACGTACAGACAGGGAGGATGGCTCATTCTGGACGGTTCATCTCACAACTTGTCTACAAATTAAATAACGAGCCGTCTTGTAAACCTCTTGAACTTCAAAACGATCTCAAACAACACAAACCGAGTCCTCTATTCGTCCGTCAGTTTCAGCTCACCGTTCAAGAGCTATTGTCGCGCGTAAACTCATGTAAACAGATGGACGCAGATGTCATGTGCAAAACCGCCTTTGCTCCTGGCTGGCAGAAATACATGCAGTTTCTGCGTACCACAAATTTTTTCTTGATTTATCAACACCGCCCAACCTCGCTTACTAAGTGACAAGATTACATCCTTGCCGAATGCTTTAGACGGTCAATACTTAACTTAGGTGTTTTGCACTGCATATGTTAGTTCTCTAACTTGTTCGCAAGAGACAGGTGACTAAGAACTGTGATGGCAGGGGGGGGGGGGTGTGCCCCGCACTACGCACACCCAGCCACCATACATAGATCGTTAACGACGGTATATGATCAGTATGTTTATGAAGAGGCATTGTACTGGTTTTAGCTGTCGTTAGAGTTCTCAACTCAATCAGAAGGTTGAGGGTTAAAATTCTAACTGTGATTTCACTCGGCACATTTCATCCAGGGCTATAAAACATTAATGTTGTGGGAATTTTAACAGTGACCTGTGGGAAGTTAACAGTTTTCTATCGATAAACCGACCACATCACTGGAATTTAGAATTTCCACCATGGACTTAGAGCCGCCAACAAGACCACCCAACACTCATTTTAGCAGGAAGATGCTGATTTTATATAAAAAAAATTAGTCTTGATTTGACCCTTGACTGGGATTTCAACTCTTCTGTTTGATGGTGAATTACTCTGACAACAGCACTATCTGTGCAGATATATGTATAAAATACAGTCTTCCAAGAGAACACATCCTCGAGTTAAAACTGAAATGCATCACTCGTAATGAAGCGTAACAGTTGATTACAGTAAGTGCCTGTCTGCACCGGCATCTCAAACACTTAGTGCATTTGATATATATATTTTTTTTTTAAACCTTCGCTTTTGCTGCAGAATTTTAACAATTCATCAGGAGTCCCGTAAGTTTGCAATTCTCAGACCCAGGCCAAGGTGAGTTTTGCCAGAAGCACTGAGCTTTGCTGGAGTGTTGGTAAATGGTTATGGTGGGTATGACCAGTGTGCGTAGTAAATCCAAGGCACACCAGCACCGTGCCTCCGTTAGCCGTTCTCAGAATCTTCTCTCTGCAGCCAGTTGTTGAGGGAACCCTGCGGGGGGGGGGGCGGGGGGCAGACTTTATATTACTAAGAGTTTTAAATTACTTGGTTGAGAAAAGAATCCGTGTAAGTGTTGAATTGTGTTTGTTGATGATGTGTTACAACATAATGCCCCGTGTTGCTTCAGAGTATGCGTGATTTAAACACTTCCATTGCACAGTGGCTGGTACGATTTGTGTTTTGACCATATTTTTTACCATAATGTGCACACCTTTATGACCTTCATGTAACAGATACCTCACAAATTCAAACTATAGTATATCATATTTATACACTTATACTAGCAGCACACATCCTTTTAATCCGAGCGACCATCCCTCCCCTCAGTCTGTGGAGTGATCTTGCAAATAACAGTAATTTAACAAGTCCGCATCTGCTGATAAGACCCAGAATGTCAAGACTGGGCCAGAGTTTGCTTGCTTAAACATATTATTCTGGATAATATTGGTTTGGACTTACATTATTTTTTCGTATCTATAGGTGGAGACGCAGAACAAAGTTCTCGTATACCTTTAAACCCTAAGTCTGGTCAGTTGCCAGATGTGCGCACCCTCTGACTCTCGCTAATTGACTTGTGTGCCTATCCACAAAGGCACTCGAGGCTGGCCGGGTGCCCAGGGCACATACCCACCTGCGTGAGTGGCGCCTCTCGCCGCAGCGCGGCGTAGAAACGCAGCACGTCCGGGTCGGCCCGCACCACGCAGGGGTCAAAGTCCACGACCCTCAAGCCCTGGAGCGAGCGGGCGCGCGACAGCGCCACGTACGCCTGACCGCACTCGAACACGCGACCCAGGCACACCTCCACACAGTCCAGAGACATGCCCTGAGGACAAGATCCACCACACCTTGTAAACAACAGGGAAAAGTGCTGTCGGAGAACATTCTAATGCCGGCACAAGGGCACAAGTGGGAGGTGTGCCCAGCACCACTCAATCTTGGCCACCATTGTTCCTGAGATGTAAATGGCCATGTTTTATGGGTGTGTTTATGTATAAGTGCCTCTTTGTGTGCGTTTCGTAGATCTCAACATGTTTCTGTCTTTGTGCATGGCTGTATGTCACTGTATCTGCGTGTTTCTCTGCATGTCTCCATGTACATGTTTGTGCGTCTGTCTGCATCTGGCTCTGTATCTGCATGTCCGTGTCTGTATCTCCGTGCGTGTCTGCTTGTCTGCTCGCCTGGCTCTTGTGAATAGAGATGGCCCAGGCCAGGCGCAGAGGCAGCTGTTTGCGGGTGATCACGTTTCCTCCCCCGGCACGCACCACCCAGCGCTCCACTTGCACCGCCTGCACCACGCCACATGCGAACCGCACAAGTGGCAGGCCTGCACGCCACAAAATACCCCACATACAAACAGGCCCACAACACACAACAACCGCCATTCGCCACTAAGTGGCGGTGACGTCACCACGGCGCTTGTGCCAGGCTATGTGCACTTAAAGTGCACACACACATATACACGTACGTACACAAACTCGCACGTACAGATACACAACAGTGGGAAAGGAATAGAACAACGGGATAAAGGGTCACAAGAGAGGAGGATGGGGAAAACAATGCTACAGAAGGGCTTCAACGATGAACAGAGCAGCGTCTATTTTTACAGGGGGCGGGGAGAGGAATTCAGAGTGGGGGTGGCTACACAAGTCACGTGAATGAAAGCTTGAGCTAATTTAGATATGTAGATGTATGTTTAACATCTTTCACACCCCACGTAGTCAGCTGTGCTAATCGAAGGTGCGGGATGTGCATGAATGCATGAGCATGCGACTGTATGGGTGCGCGCACCGAATTTCTCGGTGCTGAAGTCTGTGACAACCCCACGTGCGCCGTTCACCAGACCCCTCTGCACATCCAGGTTCTTTGTCAGCATCACCTGCGGGTGCAGTGGCACTCGCGTCACACGTGGACACGCCCACAACTAAACACGACCTCGCGATGTCGAGGCGGCACACTCTCGCACAACAACCCAATCGCAGGCATACGAGCGTATCCACCTTACAGTAATAGGTTTTGCCCTTTTAACTGGCACAATAAAAACTGACACCTTTATTCAAGGCATCATGTTTGCAATAACCACAACACAAGCAGTTCAAAATGCAAACAAAAGAGACAACTCTGATAATAATATGCACTGTCCTTGAATTTGATTGGTCCACACCCAAGCCAGCTTTTCTTAGAGCCTAGTCTCCACTGGTGTTGGACCAGAAGACGCCAAAAGGCGTGCCAGTTAAAAGGGTAAAACCTATTACTATATCTTGTTACTGGCAAAGGAGGTCTCATAATGTAAACGTATCCACCTTCACACAATGTTACACAACTGTATGTACAATGACACGCACACTATCATAAACGAGCAACCACAGTAGCACAGCGTCGGTGCACCTCAGTGTCTCTTTACAATGCAGGCCCTCACCTGTGCACCCCTGCGCAGCTGCAGGGAGGCTTCAACAGGACACATGGCATCCAGGGCTTTTGCCTGACTGGGGTCGCTGTCCAGTGCATCAAACATGTGCGTCTCACCTGAGACAAACAGAACCACGTGGCAACAATCACCGCCAATCACCTCTGACGCAATCAGGAATTTGTGCCTCCGCCACTGATGAAAGTGAACACAAACCCAGGGGTCTGTGGTATAGTGCTCCAACTACTGTGCCGCTGCTCCCCACCCCACACAAAGACAAAGCTCACCCGTGTAGCCTTTGATAGACTGATGGGGCAGGTGCTGCTAGCGAGCACCTATTAAGGCCGGCATGGCACACAAGATGGTGGCTAGGCCAGTTTCACACCCGGCCACCTTGTCTGTCTCGCCAGTGCTGATGTTTACACTGCACCAGGTACTCATTTTAGGTTGAGTTGACCTTGGGAAAAGACCCAGGACAAGTTTAAAAATAATCCACTGATGTTAGACCTGGCTGGGAATTAAACTCAGCTGGACAGGTTCGTCACGCAGTGTGCTAACCACTCCGCCACCGCTCCAGCCAACCTAGGCCATTGGGTTTGTGGCTCAGTGCATGGATCAGTGCACCGCGGCTCCGTACCCCCCCCCCCCCCAACTCGTACCCTCGCAAAAACATTCACAATCGTACCGGGCAACTTGGCCAGCTGACAAGTATTGATGAGCTGCACATCGTCGCGATGAGTGCACAACCTCGTCGCCAGGATCCCGTCCTTCTCGATCGCGTTGTCCTTCGTGGCAACGAGGCACCGCGTGACCTCGTCTGTGCACCTGAACGACCACACGCGTGTACGGGGCGCTGCACGTGCGTGTAGCGGTGCGTAGTGGTGCGGTGAGCAGTGGAGTGGCGTTGCTGCGCTTGCCACGCTGTGCGAGACCCACCTGCCGGTCCGCACCATCTGCAGCACCCGAATGAAGGCCTGGTCCTTTTGACGATGCACTTGGGTCAGCTCCATCGCCAGGTGCACGCACCGCCGCCAGCTTTTGGCCTGCACGTATGCAAGCACGAACGGACCTACAGTGTTTGGTATTGCATTCACTACACGAGTTGTTTAATAAATGTTAATGATGGAATACAAGTCTTGCAGGAATCGCCAGCTCTAAATAAATATTCAAAATGTTCCACCAATGTCATGAAAGTGAGAAATGTCCTTTGATGTAGGATTGCATCGCATTGTATCTGCGAACGGCCGCTGTGAGACTTAGTTACCGGCTGCCACTTGGTGATTTATGGTCAGGAATAAAACCGATAATGTATGTTGAACTTCTTTCGCACCGTACATCACCAACTGCTAATCGGAGGTCTGGGAACTGGTGTGCTAACTACTACACCACCACTTCCCACACACACAGAGGTATTTGCACACGTACATGTGCACACTGGTACGTGCGTGCACACACCTGGAAACTGAAGGTGCGCTTGACAGTGCGGTCTCGTGATACAGGCGGCAACTGCAGGAAGTCTCCGCTCAGCACCAGCTGTATCCCTCCAAATGGCTCGTCACGACCTCGCACCGTCCTGACACCGCCACACGCACCACACACAGTGTGTCATGCAGAGAGCATTACACACCGCACGTACATCTTGTTACACACCACAAACACCATGCATTCATATCACACCATGCTTCCATCACACACCATGTATATATGCACTGTGCACACAGCACACACCATGCTTACATCACACACACCATGTACACATCAAACCATGTGTACACCACACACAGACACCATTTAAACACCATACATTAACCATGTACACCACAAACATTGCACACCACCATGTATTATACATCATGTACACATTACACACCATATAAACACTACACACAACGTGGACTATGTATACATCATTTACACAATGCATTCGCCATGCATATAATCTGCATGTATAGCACAACAATAGAGAACACCTGAATAGGCACATAGACTGTCCAAGTGCAGTTAAGCAAGCACCTATTAACGCGAAAATATAGTGTGGACTGCACCATGCCTATCCGCTCCGGTGTGTGAACATCAGCACTGGGGAAGCATCAACTCGTTTAAGGTTGGATCAGCTTAAGGGTGGCCCAGAATCGGTTCAGATAACACTCGCCACTGATGTTATCCACGGCCAGGAATCGAACTCGGGTCACCGAGTGCACAACACCACTGCTCCCCGTGCAAACACACACGCGCTCAGCTGCCCCTTCGTGGTTCACCCCTTCGCGCACCGGCGACTGTGCCCGCGCGTGCGCCTCACGTAAGCGCGTCCCATTCGAGTCGCGCGCACACGCCCTACCGCGCCACTGCCTCCATCTTGTCGAAAAAGTCTGCGGACACCATGGACACCTCGTCGATGATGAGGGTGTGGCACGATCGCCAGCGCTGCAGCACGCCCGGTCGCCTGGCCATGGTCACGCACTGCTCCAGTGGCCCCATTCCCGAGCCCATGCCTAGGCAGACAGATACATAATTTCCACGGTACAACCGAGAACCGCCTGCCTGGCACAGCTCAGGAGGTGCCAGGTTGTTTTTTCCGCTGCAGAAGCCGAGCCGCTGACATCATCACACACAATTAGTCGTGACACGAGTAGATGACCCTGTCCTGATAGTGGACTGACTTGTGTCACAATGAATGCGTAATTAGCCCCGCCCCTGGCTCTGCTTGGCCCCGAGCCAGATTGAGATATCTTGCGAGGACACTGTATCTGATATGAAACTACCGGTTCTGGCTCGTTATGACTCGGTTATGGCTTACAGCCAGTAGGGTAGAAAAAAGATGAGATGGCGTGCTGAAATCAGCTCGTGTGCAGTTGCTTTGTGGATTATTCCATCGTAGGATCGTGCCGTCAATACCAATATGCACTCACACGGTCAATGGCTCTCACCGGCAAAGGCGTGCAATGTCATGCCTCCGATGTGACAGGCAGCCACACCAGTGCTCGCGGTGGCGATGGTACTGAGAGGCGGCAGGGTCCCCATGATCCGACGCAGTAGAAACGACTTTCCAGTGCCTGACACATGCACATAGACACGCGATTAAACACGCGACTCGCACAACCTGTGGAAGGCTCAAGATCGCTCCTTCCCCTTTGTTCCTACATTGTAGACACCATTGCCTCGCTGTACTCCTTGGTATCAAACCACTCCAATGCCCTTCTAAATAACTTGTCCTCCACCTTAATGCTCCAGCAGCCTTCTGTGCCACATGCTATCAATAAGTATCAAGAGTAATGCACATGCATTGCTGGGTTTAAAACTGGGGAGCCTCACATGACCAAACCAGGTTCTCAAGTCTAGCGAATGCCTGGTTTCACCACAAATTATTATATGGGAAAAATATAAGTATTGAATGTGTCACTGAATCAGGGCTAGCTGAATTATTAGGAATAATATATAGCTCTTATAAGTAATTGTACTTACATGAAAAATAACACGATGAAAATGTCACAACGTAAAATTTATTTTGCTATGGCCTGGCAAAAAGTGGTTTGCATGATGCACGATCAGCACCTCCGATTAACACGGTTGGCTACGTACAGTGTTTTCGAATTTCAACATACATGCAGTGCAGCACCCAGTGGCTTGGCATTGTGAAACAGCGTGGCATTCCTTGGTTGTGGAATGGTGTTGGATCGTGCCACACAATGAAGACCAACCACACACTTCATATCTTTGTGTATACATGCAGTATTAGTGCGGCGTGGTTACCGGCGCTCCCCGTGAAGAAGATGTTCTTCCTGGCCATAACGGCTTCCAGCACGGCCCTCTGCTCTTGCGAGAGGCTCACCGAACCACCACGTCCTACGCGTGCAACCCTGAGGAGGTCTGGCAGGTTATCCGACGCTCCCGCGATGCTGCAGTCTCTCAGAGGTTTCTTGGGGGTCTGGAAATAAAATGAAAACAAGACATCGTTCCATCGCACAAGGTGCACACCGATAATGTGCACTTCTGTGAGCGATCTTGACATTCATTTTTACACACCTGCATTTTCTGGGAGCTTGCCATTTATCCAACCTTAGCTCTGGACACCAGTATTACACCCGTACATTGTTCACATCCAAGGTCAAAGAAAATGCGCTATCTCCCATATTTTTTTTAAAGCCCATGACCCTGTGCTTGACCCACTGTAAACACATGCGATGAACGAATGTAACAGTGATCATGTTCTTTTACACATCCCATCATATGGACCTGGAATTGATGCATTTATGCATTGAGAGCTGTTAATTGTAATCGATTTAGTTGTGGGTAACTTCATACGTATCCACGAGGCAATCCTGTGCCCAGCTATAAATCAGAAGGTTCGAAGTTCAAGCCATAGTTGGACAATGACTCGGACCACCATTCCTCTGTGGTCAATTCACTCATTCCTGAAGTTAATTTTAATTGGTTATTATAATCACTATATCAACTATTTATAAATCAATTGAAAACTGTAAGTCATGTTTTTCCCCCTCTGTTTGCAAGGCACTACACTGTAAATTGCAGCTATAATTATTGAATAACTCATGCTCTCTGGTCTGAAGAATGGTCATGATTTTGAAATATTGCCTCATTACAATATATATTTCTGTTCATATCTCTTTGTACTGTTTGCCTTTTGGTATTCTCTGGTCTAACATACTAAGACAAGGCCATAAAGAAGGCTTATTAGTTTAAATTTATGTTGTTTGCATGTTTTACCACAAGCATGTGTGGTTAATGCAGACTTAATGTCTTTGCAATGGGTATCTATTTAGTGTTTGAACATCTTAACACACTCCTGTATTATTTCCAGAAAGGGTAAAGTCTTTCATTATTATTTCTGTTATAATGTAGTGATGTAAATGGAGTCACTATGGTGTTAACACCAGCTACTGTCACAAGAGTGGAGCTGTGTGTCTTAGGCCTCTCTCGGGCACCAGAGTGGGTATGCCATGGAAGCGGGCCCTAGGGGGCATAGTTCTGGTGAATGAGAGAGAGGTCGAGCGAGGACATGACAGTCTGGGTGACCCCGAGAGGGCACGTGACCAGACGAGGTGGCAAGGGGGGCCCAAAAGGACGGGCGAGGGACACGTGATGTAGGGGCCAGAGTCTTCGGGAAGGATCTGGAAAGGGCCGTGGCCAAGGGCGGAGCCCGGCCACACCGCGGGCCCATAAAGGCCGAGTCCCGAGCCCCGATCCGGGAAGTTCTCTGGAATCAACCCTCGGCGCTACGTCTCTCCGATCTCCGGTCTCCGCTCGGCATCGTGTGTCAGTCAGGATATTACTGACTGACCTGGTTATGTAGTTACCCTGTTTGGATCTAGTTAGCATGTGTACGTTTATGTAGTTAGCCCTGTTGGGGCTGTGTAATAAACGTTTTGCCTCTAAGTCAAGTGTGCGCCTCCGTGAAGAACACTACAATAAGACAAAAGGGGATGGAAGCTTTTTGTTTACGTGCGCTTGTACACCACAGCTAGCGTTGTCGATTCATAAAAAAAAACAATCGTAACAATTCCTCTCCTCCTCCTTACCGACTCAACCTGCCCGTGGGGGCTGCGTGCCCTCTTGCTCGCCATCCCGGCAACTCCTCGCCCAACGTTCCCATCCGGACGGGTGGCCAGGGGCTGCCTCGCCCCAAGCGGGGCTCCTCCTCCGCCCCCCGAGCTGCCGCCGCCGCCCGCTTGCGCGAGCCGTGCTTTCTCGCGGGCCGCCTGCAGGTCGCGTGCCGACAGGGGGCTTACGGTGACGAAGGAGCGGGGTGCCTCTGACAGGAGTCGCTTGCGGTCGGCGCCAACGCTTGACACTCCACTGGGTGGATGCAGGAGAAGGGCACAGGAGTCCGTAGAGTTAGTGGCGGTATGGAGAGTTCAGGCATTGCGTGAATGCTTTCATTTTATTTATAAAGATATTTTAAGAAAATGAATGCAATGAAAAAATGCAATGGTAAAAAAAGGATGAATGCAATGGTAAAAATTATACATTTTAAATACACACAAAAAATATCGTTCACTTTTGAAGCGTACATTTTGTTTGTAAAAAAGAGCAATAATTTACCGTAGTTTTGTTTCATCTCATTGGGCACATGCAGACCCCATTCTAATTCTAATTTAGAAAAAAGAATTGATATTCTAAGATGATCGTTTATTAAATATGCATTTTTCTATGTGCAGATCATACCAACAGGCTCTAATCAGGTGTATTCATTCACTTCTTTATTGTTCGTGAGTACCATTAATAGTGTAGTGCACATGTTGCTTATCTAGTGGAACCAATTACCCCGTACACATTATGGAACCGCCTCGGAGTGCTGGGTATCGGCGTACCTCTCCGCCATGGTCTTGGCGGCAATCATGCGCAGGAACGCCTTGAGGCGGTCGGGGGGGCAGTTTGAGAGAAGCAGCTGCGTGCTGTGATGGGGCAGCCGCAGGCCGCCCTTGCCTTCGCGCGTGAAGCGCGAGTGCACCACAGCATCACGCAGCCAGAACCGCTCCGCGCTCCGACCAGGGCACAGTACCTGTGTGCCCACACACCAGAGTCCTTGATTGCAAGGCTCACGTGGCCACTGGTGGCCCCGGGTGGCCTTTAGTGCGGCCCCTGACGTGCAGCCCCCAACAATACTCAAATGTGAAAACACCCCATCGTGCTGTCAAATAAATGGTTTCAAATGTGTGGCAGCCCTCACACTGATGTCTTATCAGCGAAAGTGGCCCCCCTCTGAAAATTAGTGAAGAACAATGCCACACACAATACAGTGGGTGTCCTGTCTACAACGCTATCTCTAGTCAACCTATACTCAACGAAGTTAAAGTAAAAGATCACTGCGCATAAAAAGTGATACATCGGCCTATTGGCTTTCCAGACCAATATTATCTGGCGAAAATTGCTTAAGGAAGAAAATTCTGAACTGATTTCAACCTTTCGGGCTTCAATAGCAATCTGGCTTGTTAAAAAAAATATACTGCTGGGCTACCAGACATTTTTGTCAAAGAGCACACCATCGCATATATCCACGCTACACAACTCAATCCTTGCCAAAGGCTACCTGTCATGCAGCCTTCACGAGTGTGCGACGTATACACATGCACCTGTCCAGAGTTCAAAACGCTTCCGGAAGAAGGGTAACCAGATTATGCCGTATTCACGGAGCACCCCCCCCCCCCCACACAACCATTTGTTAACGTGGCTCTGGCCACCTCAGTACCACAACCCACATCACCTGCAGCTGCAGCTCTCGCACTTCACTCCTCCCCAGCATGAGGGTCGCGTCGCGCACTGCCTTGCGTCGGACCGACTGACCGGACTTGTCGAGCTGTTCGATGACCAAGGAGCAGCAGATCTGAGCCTCGGGCTCATCCATGCCTCCTTGAAGGACCTGGGCAGGGGAGATGGCGCAAGGAAGGTGGGGTGCACAGCAGTTGGAGCGGCACGTTCTCACGTCAAGTAGCTTTCAACTCTGTACCTGCTATCCGCACGTTGCAATACGTCACATAATGAACATACACTGAGCAGTAAGAGTACACTTTGTACGCATGAATTGTGTAACTTATATGACCATTTTGTGACAGCTTAATTAATATACACAGGACACAACTCATCAGACATGATCTATGCACTGCTGGATAAAGCCCCCTCCCCCGAAATCCACAAGCTCTCACACAAACCAGGCCTAAATAAAACACATTAGTAATAAATGAAAACAATTATTTACAAAAATGGAATGGCTGCACAGCTATTGCATAAAGAAAGAACAATCATGTTCAGGATTCGACAGAAGGCGTTAAGACTCGGAGCCATGCTTCTGCCATGGGTTATTCAAAGTGACATTCCCGAAAAAGGCATATGACAATGAATGGAGAAAATATGCTCAGTCTTAGATTTGCTTATGACGGTCAGTACAACAGATGGAATTTAACTACATGTAAACTCTGTGAAAAAAAAAACATAGTGAAGAAGACGGCATAGATGGGCTCATGATAATTGAGCAAAAACAAAGGTCACGTGCAGAGAGCTCGCTAACCAGTTGAAAATGTGTCACAGGGAAAATCATTGGAAAGCAAATAAGGATATGTAATGGAGTACCTAGGTCAGTTATTGAAGGCAGAAAGGGATGAAAATTCTTTAAAAAAATAGGCGGACGAGAGCAGGTTGGGGTACTTTTGTAAAGCTGGAAAATGAAAAGTAGCATACCAATGTACTTCAAAGAAGCAGATATTTTAAGCACGGTAAATTACTTGCAATGCCAATGGATCCGACGCATGGCCATTCACACATGACACTGAAAACCCTGGAAACCGCGCAAGGAATCGTGGACGTGCATGCTTGGGGTTACATTGAGAAACATCAACGTAGATTACAGAACGGGCCTACGGGGTTGTTTTTTCTTTAACAGACTTCTGTGCCCGTCGTTGTCGCTAGAACGCATGGGTTTACTACGGTCCAGAATGATAACGGGGCTGGCAAGCCAATGGATGCACGTGACACGTCAATGAGATTGTTGTCCAACGGGGAGATGGAGCACTGAAATCATCTCGATGGGCGAGGAGCCAGGTGGATTGTACATCGCAGGAGCGCTAGAGAATTGGGGAGTCCTCCGTCCAGCGGTGGACTGATCACGGCTGATTATGATCACACTTTGCAGGCGCAACGTGCGCGCCCAACGCCATACGAGATGCACGTGGACTGTCACAAAGCAAAAGATGTACGCCTGTATACAACATCACGATGCACGTTTATAACATTACTCTCAGTACGACACGTGTACACACGTGTGTATGTTGTGTCTGCCATGTATTATATATATACTCCACAGCATTGCGTGCGGTACACGCAGTCTAATATAGTGATGGAACTCACCTAGGGTACTCTCGTCACAGCGTGAAGCCGGCCTCCCCTCTTGCATGCGGCTCTCCCAGCTGCAAGCCACTTGGGAGATAGCACAGTGACTGAAATCAGGCTGCTGACAGGTAGCGTCATGCAGGTGGAGTGACTGGCTGGCTGGATGATTGGATATGAGGCAGGCAGGGTGGTGAGGTGGCTGGCTAGTAGACGGGATGACTTGTTAAAGAGACAAGCAATCACTGGGTAATCAGAGTGGTTGGGAAACAGGCAGGCTCGATGACTATCAGACAAAGAGGGTAACTATCAGTGAGATAGGGTGACTAGCAGACACACAGGCAGGGTGACTAGCAGACACACAGGCAGGGTGACTAGCCGACAGACGGGCAGGGTGACTAGCAGACAGACAGGGTGACTAGCAGACAGACAGGCAGGGTGACTAGCAGACAGCCAGGCAGGGTGAATAGCCGACAGACAGGGTGACTAGCCGACAGACAGGGTGACTAGCCGACAGACAGGCAGGGTGACTAGCTGACAGTCAGGCAGGGTGACAAGCCGACAGTCAGGGTGACTAGCCGACAGTCAGGGTGACTAGCCGACAGACAGGCAGGGTGACTAGCCGACAGACAGGCAGGGTGACTAGCCGACAGACAGTCAGGGTGACTAGCCGACAGACAGGCAGGGTGACTAGCCGACAGACAGTCAGGGTGACTAGCCGACAGTCAGGGTGACTAGCCGACAGACAGGCAGGGTGACTAGCCGACAGACAGGCAGGGTGACAAGCCGACACACAGACAGGGTGACAAGCCGACAGTCAGGGTGACTAGCCGACAGACAGGCAGGGTGACTAGCCGACAGACAGGCAGGGTGACTAGCCGACAGACAGGCAGGGTGACTAGCAGACACACAGACAGGGTGACAAGCCGACAGACAGGCAGGGTGACTAGCAGACACACAGACAGGGTGACTAGCCGACAGACAGTCAGGGTGACTAGCCGACAGACAGGCAGGGTGACTAGCAGACACACAGACAGGGTGACTAGCCGACAGTCAGGGTGACTAGCCGACAGACAGGCAGGGTGACTAGCCGACAGTCAGGGTGACTAGCCGACAGACAGGCAGGGTGACAAGCCGACAGTCAGGGTGACTAGCCGACAGACAGGCAGGGTGACAAGCCGACAGTCAGGGTGACTAGCCGACAGACAGGCAGGGTGACTAGCCGACAGACAGGCAGGGTGACTAGCCGACAGACAGGCAGGGTGACAAGCCGACAGTCAGGGTGACTAGCCGACAGACAGGCAGGGTGACTAGCCGACAGACAGGCAGGGTGACTAGCCGACAGACAGGGTGACTAGCAGACACACAGACAGGGTGACTAGCCGACAGACAGGGTGACTAGCCGACAGACAGGGTGACTAGCCGACAGACAGGCAGGGTGACTAGCCGACAGACAGGCAGGGTGACTAGCCGACAGACAGGGTGACTAGCAGACACACAGACAGGGTGACTAGCCGACAGACAGGGTGACTAGCCGACAGACAGGGTGACTAGCCGACAGACAGGCAGGGTGACTAGCCGACAGACAGGCAGGGTGACTAGCCGACAGACAGGGTGACTAGCAGACACACAGACAGGGTGACTAGCCGACAGACAGGGTGACTAGCCGACAGACAGGGTGACTAGCCGACAGACAGGCAGGGTGACTAGCCGACAGACAGGCAGGGTGACTAGCCGACAGACAGGCAGGGTGACTAGCCGACAGACATACACACACCGGTATGAACCTCAGCACCGGGCTGCTGCAGCTGCCACCAACAACGAGGGGACATTTAAACCAAAACTCCGCCCTTGCAGCTCGCTAGCCAATGGAAGAGCAGCGCGCTGCACGCCAAGCCAATCAGGCAGCTCGGCGTGCTGCTCTCTCAACCAATCAGATTAGCTTTTCCCGGACCGGCCAATCAGGGGGTAGCAAATTTGAAATCGCAACGGATTAAGTTGGGCGGGGTTTGGCCGCGCGCAATGCGGCGCGGCGATTGGGTGAGGGGGCCGCCACGTGATCGTGGCTCCGTCACGTGCGCGATATTAAATGCTGCCACGTCGTGACGATTATCGCGATAACGCGATGTTGTTCTCGCGACACGATATTGAATGTTACGACGTGACGCCTATCGCGATATCGCTTTAACTCACTACATGCACGCATTCATGTCACTGACGTTGTTCAACGATAGTTCGCTCAATATAAGGCTGCTGTTTTCAGCATGATGTGTAAAAAAACCCCATCAACGCATTCGTCAGTAAGATAAAATACACAATCATCAGAATACAAAGTCTGTGTACTGGAAGAATCCGATTGGCTAGACAGCTCTTTTTCACAGATGTCCGATCATACAGAATATAAATCGGCGGCATTTCGAGCAACGGACCGTCATGTGCTATGAAGAAGGGCCATTGTCCGAAACGTCGCTTATAATTACATAGCTGTCAACCCGTACGGTTTAGCCTGTATTCTTGTACAGGGAAATTGAGTTCTCAGGTCCATGTGGTGTACAGCCGTTTCAATACGGGCAACATTTTATTTGTCTATGGGGCCGTCCACAAATGACGTCACGCGACTTTGGACGATTTTTGCCCCCCCCCCTTCGTCACACGGCGTCACAAAAAGTCAGACCCCCCCTCAAATATGACGTCACAAAGCTTTGCCCCCCCCCCCCCAAATAAATAAATAACAACATTTTCAAATCGCTTTAATCTATTGTCATTGTAGTGCGTATTTAAGTATATTTAATTAAGTGGAACGTGTTGTCTATATTTATTTAAAGTTGCGCATTTTGATGTGACGTCACATTTCTCAGCCCCCCCTCGTCACAAATGTCTGCGTGACGTCATTTATGGACGGCTCCCTATGTGTCTGTGTTTCTCCTTTGTGATGGGACTTTGTAGGACGAACGTTGAGATTTATAAGGGGCACGGGGTGACCGATAAGGTCTGAACTGGTCTGTAGTAAGGTAGGGCACTGATAAGGGGTCGACAGGTTTGTACTTGAAGCCGCTGACGTCACATAATTCCCATGAAGTTTTACAAATAACAAAATCTATGGATTATACACGGGAAATTTTTATGTAGAACCTTAATTAATAATCTAATCTTTAGTGATTACAGATTTATAACCGTTGTCACGATACACGGATTGAAGTAAAAAATCCAATCAGCAAAGATGATCACGATAACGATATTTTGAAAAACTGACGATACAATTATCGCGGATCTGAAATGATATATCATAGGGTTGTGCAGATTTAACATTGTTAAATGATATACCTTTAAGTTTCTTTTTGGTACTTATTTATAACTTTTTCTGCAAATTTTGACCCAAAAAATTACCCCGGGGAACGTATACTAAATTTATATAATCAAGTCAATTGTAAAGTCTGGTTCGATGTACGCTGTTTCGCCTAACGTCACGTTTTCCAGGAATTCATCCCCGACGTAGAAGACTTACTGCATTGAACTCATATTCGAGGGTCATTCCATTCAGACTTGTCAACATTTCTTTTCTCAAAGTGCACGGGCAGCCCACACGTCCTTTGAACGTAACCGTCCCTCCCTCCAAACAGCAAAGCTGTTTTGTATGTATATAATATAGTATGAAGTATGACATATAATATTGAACGAGGGTCCCCACCTCTCCATCCCTGGGTGCTACCCAGGGCATTTAACTATAATACAGTACTACACAATAACGTTTCACTCTCCTATTATAACGACTGCAAGACCACCACAATAGTATTGATACAGTACACTAATATATACACTATACTTTACTACTATTCTTGCTACGGTATAGAAATGTAATTATGTCAGTGCAACTCGGAGAGTCAAACCTAGTTCAGAGTTTGCTGCTGTAATTATTCTGGAAAACATTCCAGGAGGCTCATAGGCGAATTAACCTAAATTTCAATTTTTATGGTGAACCAAAGCTCATTTCTATACAACGTGTATATTACCGACTATCCACCAAGACTGCACGTACTTTTGTACAATGAATGGACGCGTGATTGGGTAAAGATATTAATGGATTGGTGAATGACAGTGCTGGTAAATGAATATATGACCGAATACTTGGATTGATACACGAATACGAACAATAAAATGGTGCATTAACAGGTGACAACGTTTAAATTGCTTTAAAAGTGAGTGAATTAATAAATTAGTGAATGAATGAAGGCATTCATCATTTCACAGTATGATCAGGTGACAGCCCGTGAAATAGAATATGGCTTGACCCTGCTTTGCACTCTCGCCTCCAAAGTGCAAGTGGGGCCGCCCTGATTCTCCACCACAAAGCTTGGGCACCCATTGTGACCTGGGGTCTGCAGGTGGCGTCTCTGAGCCGCCATGCGCCGCACCTTGCCCTGGGAGCACGTGCTTGCCATTGTATAGGTGTGTCACGCAGGTGTCTCTTTAAACACACGTGCCCCGCAGGAACACGTGGAGGGGGAACTCTGCCACATAGTTTGTAGCAATAATGCTAACTTGAACACCAAGGTTATTAGTCCCCCCCCTGGGTGAAATTCTTTGCCAGTCATTCTTGGATTTTAAACTCGCCCTTCAAAGTGAAGATGTGTGGACTGCCGATTGCTCAGGGCACATTCTCTTTGAGTAATCGTTTGTGTTTAGGTTATAATGAGGCACGATTTTGTGGGCTATTTATCCAACAGCTTTCAGCTTAAATTTCACCCTTAATCTAAAGGCTTAATATTTGTCGCCAATATCCTGTATGACTGAGCCACTTTAAACCCGCCACCATCCGACACAGCCAATTAGTATGATTTGTCACGTAAACAAAACATGGCAATTCGTTACTAGTACAGCACACCGGTGTGTACATGTGAAGATATTACATTTATTCCTCTATTTAAGACGGTAACAGGATGATTTCTCCACAAATCTGGCTGTCGCATAATGGTGCTAGTTGTAATTACTGGCGAAACGTCGTACTCGAATTGTAAATGTTGCGGGTTTATTCTCCAACACACCGGTGTGCTGTACTCAGGGCCGGATTAAGATTTTGTAGGCCCTTGTGCTGCAGGTACTGTGAGGCCCCCAGTAATATTTTCAAAAGGAAAACAAAGATAAAGAAAATAAATTTTGATTTAAAGCTTTCGTGATTGCAGGGATTCATATTCTTTGTTCTTTCGATAAAGTCACGTAGAAGGGGAACAATAAAATAATAAAAATATAACGTTAAGAAAAAACCGCCACTTTTTTCAAATTTTCTTGCTGTGGTTTTCACACCTGATGATGATTGATTGTTGCAGTCGAAACGTCGTGAGAATTTTATTTTTTAATTATTTTATTGTTTCCCTTCTACGTGACTTTACCGAAAGAACCAAGAAAAAATAAAATACAATTTATTTTTACAAGGCTAATAACAAATATAATTCAGCATTCACAAATGAAATAACTTTTCACTTAATCTCTGGAGGCCCTCCAGCTGGCAGAGCCCCCTGGGCTGCAGCCCCTAAAGCCCCCATGCCTTGATCCGCCCCTGGCTGTACTAGTAACGAATCGGCATGTTTTGTTTACGTGACAAACCTTACTAATTGGCTGTGTCGGGTGCTGGCGGGTTTAACGACACATTTATATTGACGCGATCTAACCCAAAAAAAAACCCTCTATTGTGGACAATATTGGTCGCGAAAGCCTACGTGTTAAACTGAGCCACTTTATACATAGTTGATGGTTCACCTCCCTCAGATGTCTCGTGATGTTGAGGTGGAAATCCAAAAGCACCCTTCAGCTCAGCTATAATGTGTAATATTAAGGACCAGCGAGTCATTCACAAGAGTGAAAGGAAAATGTATAACTACTGATTATTACTTGCACTAAATCTGTAATGATAAATTATCCATACAATGCTAATTTACCGGTTTTCCTTTTGTTACTACAGCGACTCAGTGGAATTATCACATTGTTAAGTAAATGTCCTTGATAGTCTTAACCGTAGCTGTGCGTTTACTTGCCAGAGCTGCCACTGAGACCAGCCAATGGGACATTCCTTTGGGTTTACACATATGTACATTCTTCATCATAACCTAACCCGGCTACTCCGAACTGGATTTAGGAAGAAAAGATACATACAAAATGATTTCGCCTGCTGGAAGTGAAAAGTGACACTTATGTTTTTTTACTCGCCCTTGTGGAGATTATCAAAGAGAGAGGGGGTGGTGGGTTGGAGTGGGGTGTTGGGGGAGGAGGTCGGAGATAGCTGGGTCGATAGAGTTGGTGTCGGTGTGTAATGTAGGCGTAGGGACAGGTGTGTAGTTGAAAGGTGTGTTGGTGCTGCTAAGTAGGGCATTATATAAGTGAAGGAGGATTGTATATGGGCGGATGTACACAGATGTGCGTTTGTACGTTGTAATTCAACACATGTGTGTGCTTGACTCATTAATCCACCTATGTGTTCAATCACGCAGGTTCATTTATGGACTCGGACCTGATATTCATTCCGTTCGTCGGTTCCACCCAAGGTGAAAAAGTGTTGTTTTAGCCGACATGTCTAAAAGCTAAATAAAATACTCTATTCAAGTTATGGTTTGAAGAGTGATATTATTATTATTGACCGTATACATAAACTGGTAACACTAATGCTCTCCCACCTCAAGTGCTACCCAAGTTTCTGTTCTGACGGATCGACCAGGTAGAAAGTAATCGTGCAGGTCTGGGGTATGGTGGTATACTCTGTCCTCACCCCATTCAGCAGAAACAGGCGGAGGAGGAGAGTGACTCAGCCAACCCAGCCGCACACCACCAGTTGCCCCAGAACCAAGCGAGTGTCCAGGTCACACGTGAGTGCCTCGGGGGACGGCGGTGAAGAATGATGATGGGGGTTGGGGCAAAGTTGTTGGTGGGCGGGCGGACAGGTGAAGGGGATGGAGGGGGGTTGATGGTCCTAGCTATTTATTGTGCCGCCCCTGACGCCTCGCCTGCAGTCTGAGTGATTTGTCGCACGCCGGGCGCGTGCCACGGGGGCATCTCTCTCCTTTCTCTCTCTCCTCTCTCTCTCTCCACCCTCCTCTCTCTCCACCCGGGCGCGGCTCACACGCGCGCACCCACACACGCGCGTGCCGTCTCCCCCTCCCTACACTCACACACACGCACGCGCACGCACGCACGCGCGCACACATCCCGCGCCGCTGCCGCCGCACCTGCCCGGCAGGTATGGCCGTCTACTACAACGCGTTCGCCTCCTATTCGTCACTGGAGCTGACTGCGCAAGCGGCGGGAGCTCCTCAAGTCCCCGGCTGGGATTCTCCGCCGCTCACCCCAGCAGCTGCCACCTCATCGACGACTTCGTCCGCCCCTGCCTCCTGGCTCCTGCACGGCGGTGCCAACGCAGCCGAGGTGCAGGGAGGCAGCCCAACGCCTGCTGTGCCCCCGCCTCCGTACGGCGTGGCGGGGGCAAACTCCTCGTGTTACCACCACCAACAACAACTCCAGCACCACCACCACCAGCAGCAGCAGCAGCAGCAGCCCGTGGGACCCCACGGCCTCCCCGCGCCGATGATGATGACGGCTGGGGATGCGGTGGTGGTAGCGGCTGCTGGTGGTGCTGGTGGTGGTGGTTCGGGGATGAGCTGGCACTCGATGCCCGGAGCGTCGCAGGCGAGCCTGGTCCGCATGGCGCGGCCTCCTTACTCCTACTCGGCGCTCATCGCGATGTCCATCCAGGGTGCGCCCGATCACAAGCTGACGCTCAATCAGATCTACCAGTACGTGACCGACAACTTCCCGTACTACGAACGCAGCAAGGCGGGCTGGCAGAACTCGATCCGGCACAATCTGTCGCTCAACGACTGCTTTCGCAAGGTCCCGCGCGACGAGGATGATCCAGGTGTGCACGACACAGCGAGTGATGATGGGCGGGGGGGGGGTGCAGCGTTAGTCCGAGTGCGTTCGCGTGCGCGCGCGTGTGCGCGCGTTCGTGCGTGCGCGCGCGTGCGTTCGTGCGCGCGCGTGTGTGTGTGCGTATGGGCGGCGCGCGATGGTGAGCGTTGGGTCTCGGAAGTGCGTGAGACGTGCTCGCCTCAGTGTTTGTGCGCTGGTGTTCATATATGGATTGTGAGTACGAGAGAGAGCCCGTTTGTGAACGTGGATGCGAACTCTCACGCACGCAAACGTTCACTCTCGTTTGTGAAAAGTCGCGTGCGCGATGCGACTGAGTCGGCGTGCGTCGAGGAGCGCCGTGGGTTTGTGTGAGTGGCGGGGCGAGTGTGCTCGCCACACCGCCACTGGGAATGCATCAAGTCTGTTCGCGCGTGTGAATGAATGAGTGCCCGTGAATGAATGAGAGCGTGTGTAGGTGCAGCGGTGGTGGAGCGGTCAGCGCGCTGCGATACGAACCCAGCGAACCGAGTTCGATTTCCGTTCACGGCCAACACACAGTGACGATTATCTGAACCGGTCCTGGGGCCTCCCCTAGGTCGACTCAGCCTCAAATGAGTACCTGGTGCGGTGTGTAAACATCGCCACTGGGGAGACAAAGGCGGTCGGGCGTGGTGTTGGCCACCCACTCCCTCGTGTACCGTGTCGCTCTTCGTATGTGTTCGTTAACAGCACTTGCCCCAACAGTCTGTTACTGGCTATACGGGGGATCTTTGTCTTTGTCAGTGCATGCGTGTATGGGAGTGCACGTATCAGCAGTCGCTTGAACAGTTTACAAAGCCAACGAGGGGAATCTTTGTGCGTGAGTGTTTGTCAAAGTGGGTCAAGGGAAATACACATGGGGGGGGGGGTTATTGTTGTGGAAAAAGAAAACTGTGAAACGCTCACTCCAAAAAGAGTGCACTGTAGCGTTTAACGAGACTGTGACTCGTGCTGAGAGGGAGGACAAGGAATGTGTAATGACATAAGCAGACCGACCTGACCTACAAGCCCGTGGCACCACGTGGGGGGGGGGGGGGGGGGGGGGTGGATGTTTAAACACCACTTAGGCCGCCCCTGTTCGTGTTTCGTTGCTGAATATCACTGGCACTCAGTGCCCCTGGGCATTTGGCTATTTGCCAAGGATTCTCCGCATCCCGTCTGCCTTACATTGATAATTATTTGTCATTTTGGTTTCCCATGGCATGTTGGTTTTTGCAGTTTTTAATACAATTGCATTTATTTACTGAATTTAAATGTTTCTCGGACTCATGTTATGCTTGTCAGCAGTCGACTCTCCCGTTATCTCTCTGGCCTTTGTCTTCGCATGAATACAATGGTGCTTGCCATAAGAATGTGGAATTTCCACTCACGAGTTAGGGCCATACATACAGGTAGATGAGCACTGCCCAATGCTCGTTTGACAATGCAGACACTTAACTTCATTTTGAATGTCATTGAAGTATTTTTCCAGTGTAAATATCTTGAAAGCTCTGCTTTGACATCACTTTAACACTGTAATGTGTAGCAAGTGTGCTGCAATTAAAACGCTGCTGCAATGTTTTATCTATAGGCAAGGGAAATTACTGGACCCTGGACCCAAACTGCGAGAAGATGTTCGACAATGGCACATTCCGCCGCAAGAGGAAGCGCAAGGGGGCGGATAGTGGCGCCCCCGCCCGGCACTCCGCAGTGCCATCCGCGATGCCATCGGCGTGCGACAAACCCCACGAGCCTGCACCCTGTGCCTACGGGAGCTCCGAGATGTCCCCACCCTTGCCGTCTCAGCTAGGCGGCATCGGCCCCGCGCCGTCCCTGCCGGACATGCTGGGAGCGCCCGGCACGGTGGCACCGCCGCCGGTGACAAGCGCGGCGCACCTTCCGCAGGCCCTCGGCGTTGGCGTCAGCGAGCTGCCGTCGCCGGGGCTCGGGGTGTCGCCGCCGCCCTGGGCTGAGCCCGACCCCACGGAGTCGTGCTTCTCCAGTTTCGTTGGTGGTGGTGGCGACGGCGGAGGTGGTGGCAGTGGCAATGGCATGGAGATGGAGGACGAGATTTGCGGGCGGATGGGTGGGCACAATGCCAGCTCGCCGCTGTCGGCACTTGCCCAGTACCCGTTTCCCGCCACGTCTGCACCCTTCTCTGACTACAGCCTGGCCCTGTCCATCGGGGGCCTCCCGGGCTTCTACCAGCACAGCCCCCGGACGGCAGAACAAGGTGGTGCAGACCACTTCTTCCCCAGCACCTGTCGGGACAATGGACTGCTACATTACTCGGGCGGGGGGGAGTATTGGTAATAAATGTAATTATATTATTGGTTCTTTCGGTAAAGTCACGTAGAAGGGAAACAATAAAATAATAAAAATATAAAACAATAAAATTATCACGACGTTTCGACTGCAACACAAGCAATCATCATCAGGTGTGAAAACCTCAGCAAGAAAATTTTCTTGCAGGAAACACCTGATGATGATTGCTTGTGTTGCAGTCGAAACGTCGTGATAATTTTATTGTTTTATATTTTATTATTTTATTGTTTCCCTTCTACGTGACTTTACCGAAAGAACCAAGAATATGAATCCCTGCAGTCACGAAAGCTTTAAATAAAAATGTAACAATGTTAAAACTAAATGAAAGTCCTGGGGTGTTATAAAAATTCAGACAAAACAGAGATTGGTCATCACACCGCAGAATTAGAGTGATGTGTATTTGGCGCTTACAAAACAAGTCACGCAAGGTATTCAGGTGTGCTGTGTGTCTTAAATTTCCTGTACATTTCAGTGGGGTTTATAAGATTGTATCGTGAGCAGGGAATTAATTTGAGGCTGCATGCCCCTCTGCACTGAACAGCATGCTCCTCGGCTTAATGCCCCATGTCTGTGCTGCATTGTAAGTGCGGTCATAGGTGACACACATGGGTATTGTGCACTCAGTTGAGCTGGATGTAAGTAATTACAACAACGTATTCACAATGTCAGTCTTTTGTCCATATTGCACATACCTGCAAAAATATATTTGTATATACATTTTTGTAATTGTTTTTTTATGTACAGTTTTATTTAGTGCTCAGGAATTCAGGTAAATCCATGAGCAGTTGTGATGGTCAGGAAGAAAGTCTGAAACAGTTTGACCGCGAATAGAGACCAATCGGTCGAATGTTAAGCCCCTGAAATGACTGCCACCTGATGAGAGAGACACACACATATGATGCTTGCATTGCACCCGTGTGTTGACATCAATAACACGTGAATAAATGTTCTACACTTATATATATTTGTAATGAACATTTCAACAATGTCTGTATCCACTTCTAGTTTTATTAAACAAAGAGGACATTTAAACTCTAACTGTAGAATCATTGATTATAAACACCCAATATCATGCCAACTGATCAGGTGGCACTAATTAGAGTACCACTCAATTGAAAGGTGGCAATTCCAATCCCGTCATAAGTCAACTCGGTTCATCATCTCTCTGCGGTCAATCAAATGAGAACTAATTCATGTTAAGTCAACAGTGGTTGTTTTAAGTAGTGCCTGGCTTCCGGCATAGGAATGCGTACGTTTTGGACAGCTACGGTGATTGATTGAAAACCATTCACTCAAAACGTGCATAGTTACCTCAACTTGCTGACCGGTGACTTGAGTTCTGGACCACATTCTGGAAAGATGGACGCAGACAGGTCCGTGATGCCCAAAGGAGACCATGCCTGCTGTAGTTGATAGATTTGCTGTTGGGATCTGTTGGGAATTTCGTGTCGTATCGAGTTCGGTTTGTTGCTGTGTAATTACGACTCTTCCGTTGACGGGCTGCTATGGGTGGGGTGACTGCACTATGCAATTTGTACTGTACTCGCATTTCATAAATGGACTTTTTTATCCTGATTTTTATTTTACGAGGAATGTTATTGTCGATGGTAATAAACATGCATTTCTAAGCAATACTTTGGTATAATTTTTACAGCGTTAAATGTCATTGTAAAATTTGGTTGATGTTCATTGTACGATCCAGGCTTCACATTTACGCTCTATGCTTCCACTGCTCACCTTTTGACGCACACGGTCACGTGTTTGTATCTTCCAGTAATTCTCTGCTAACAAAACGCAGCACTCCGATGCAATATTGAGTGAATCCAAATGCACTATGGGGGGTGGGGGGGGTTAGCAAATGAACACAAGGAAGCGTTTGTTTTCTCAATCTGACCAGGGACATGCAAATACTGACAATTTGTATGTACGTGCATACAATACACATCGTTACCACGTTGCAAACAGTTGATTTCTGTCAATTGACAACATTGCCATAGGGGACTCTTGCTAGAGACAAGCACATCATTAAAAACAAATAAGACTGTCAGGTTTATGAAAAAAACAGTGTCACAATTGGCCTTATGAGCTTTTGAAGTTTGCAAGGGGAAGGGCAACTTTATGTTTTACCCTACGGTGGAAAATATCAAAGGGTCAGATTAACACCTTGACGAATGACCAATGAAGCATATGAAACATGTTTCATTGGCCATTTGCGCTATTGGTGATTGTCATAGTTTCGTCCAAAAATTGGACAAGGATCATTTGCTAACATGTGTTGAAATTAATCGTTTTTATGTTCATAAATCATAAACACTCGGTGATGAATTTTAACATTTAGTCTCATTCTTTTGGCTACACCTGCCAGTAACCCGGTTTCATCCTGTGCTTGGAAGACTCAAGTGCTTGTTTTCAAATAGATTTCGAATGGTGGGAAGGCAAATGTGTTTTGTTGCAGTCCCTACACTTCAAACTCGACCTGCAATGGTATCCCAAACAAGTCTACAAGCACAGCGAGTCAATGGGGTTAACGGAGAGTGGGTGTTGTTCATTTTGTAGAAATTGCGGCAAGATTCATTTGGCTTAGTTGGGCACCGAACAATTGCAGCTTCTCACCGTCATTTAGTCGGCTGAAGACATTGTACTGTGGGCCTGAGGGCTATACAAGAACTTTGCATGTTATGAAAATACGTCAATTTGAGAACGATTCAAGTAGAGATGAGTGTTTGGTCTCAATGTGGAGATCTCATAAAATGATCCTTTCTATTTATGCATGATACATTGCTTTTCTGTATGAACTGTACCATACTTTTAAAAGGTTATGGGTTTGAGATTAATTATTACGTTATTTTTTTATTACCACATGTTCTATTTTTTCACTTTTACGTTTTGCACACATTGCGGAAATTCCATTAAAATGAAACATTTTGAATGATGTTTTTCCTTTTCACCTGTGGGTTTATTCCTGTGTTTTGCATTGTTGGAAGTTGTTGAAATTTCTCGAATAGCAGCCTTTCAGATAGCGGGACACGACGAAGTAGGGTGAGATGCAGGGTGTGTCATAGGCAGCCGCAGGGCTTGTGACACAAATATTATACACGTCCTGAACCGACTTTCATTGAAACAGTTGTCAAATTTGACAGACGGTGAAAATAGGCTATTGCATAATGGTGTTCGTTTTTATGAAGTCACACACTTGTTGCAAAAGAATGTCAACATTTTTCTTGAAAATGCAGCCACTTTGTACACAGATTCGGACAAAATTAGGTGCCATTGAAAACGTTGTCCAATATAACTGAAGTTAGAGAAGTGATCACGCATTACTGATCAAATTTTACACTTGGAAAAGCTTTAGAGATATATCAGTTAAGTGAAAATAAAGTAGGAAAACAGTATTTTCTTACTGAGGTGGGGAAAATATGAAATTAGAATTGAACTTTAATCAACTTTCGAGCCTAGAAACAACAATTTAATGTTCTAATTTAATGGTACGTACAACATGCGATCGATACACAAGTTGTTCACAGTTCATGAGTAACTATGCAGTACATCGTTACTAATGCATTGGATATTAGGTTACTGGATGCAATACTGTTATGCATGACACGTTTTACATATATTCTTTCCTAAGCAAATGTATTGAATACGTGGGAAATAATTTCATTCACGATAGATCCGCATGGTAAATTTTGACTGGCTCAGGGCTGAGAACAACATGAGCACTGCCTCAATGCTCATTAGAGCAGCAAATCACCGTGACTTTGCCGCCCAAATCAACTGTAAAACTGGCATTTAATCATACTAGGGACAGATGAAGAGCAGTTTAAAGACCCTAAGACAACGGGAAGCATACCCAGCAGAACCATAGCCACGAGTTAATTACACAGAAGCTGTCATTGCTGCCCACGTGCAACGGCCACTTCCCCGTATCTAGAACACCCAGGATGGCCACGTAGGGATGGGCCGGTGTGGCACAAACTGTTAATTAATCGGAATTGAGCTAGGGTTGGTGGATCATCCTAGGATCATTATGTTTGCGAGGGAGTCAGTTTATTTCGGGTGAGGCCCATTGAGACAAGAAGCCCTTTTTCAATGGCGACCCAGACAAAGCTACAGGCGTTGCAAATGGGAATGGATGGTCTACAGGAGTTGCGTCGAGAAAAAAGGGACATTTTTGTTTTAATAAACATGACTAATATGATATGGGACCTTTCTTTCCAGTATTAAAATATAACAATAGCTTTTACCATTTATGGCAATGAAACAGGTATCAAGATGTTAAAACACCAAACGGAATCCTTATTCAAGGAAGGCAGACAGGATACCTTGAATAAGGATTACGTTTGATGTTTTAACATCTTGACACAACTGTTTTATATCCAGAAAGGGTAAAACCTATTGTTATATGACTAATATGACTAATGAACATGACTAATAATAACTAATAATAACATGGCTAATACACATGACGAATAAATAATAATATTCAACAGCCAGAACTATGTATAATGGACAACTAGTCAACAATCCAAAATAACATTGTCCGTGACACAAGTGAGATGAACTCACGTTCACCTGCAAACAATAGCAAGGTTCCTATAGGTGGTAGTACAATAAGTAGGTTGCAGACCTATATGCAGAGTTCAGTTTTTTTCCTCATATAGGTTTTCTCTAAACCTGCATTCACCGCACACACAAGACGTGTCCATTCAAGCTGTTACATCTCATAAATCGACACATAATACACATTGTGTGGCACAATGGATTGGATATGACACGTGGGTAAGGCTGCACAGCGAGATTAGGGAGGATGTTGTGGGGATGGAATTGGAGATTTACCATCCTAACCAACCCGGTGTATTCTAAATCGATGCACTGCATACATCCACACGCATGTACCGACGACACAAACCAAAGCCATTTTTTGTTGAGGGTATGGCTCATTATTTCAAAAGTTCCCCTTGATTCTTGACAAATGTTTTAATCCAATTGATCATCGAGCAATGCACCTGGGGAGAGGGCGGCTTGCAGGCAAGTCGGACCAGGGGAAGGAGAAGATGAGGAGTTAGG